GGGCCGCCTGCTGAGGGTGATTGTGAGACGCGCCTGCGTCACGTAGGTCACGGAGACCGGGGATGTCTCGTCGCTCTTCAGGCGTGACGTAGCCGTAGGCCGCTGGCCCTCCACGTCTGGTCTCGATGTCCTTCTCTCTCAGGAAGTTATGCAGGACGCAGGTTGCCAGGACGATGAGTTTAACGGCCTCCACGTCACACCCGATCGGACCCCGGAACACCCGCCACCGTTGTGCGAGGATCCCGAACGCGTTCTCGGAGGTCCGACGGGCGCGGCTGAGTCTGTAGTTAAAGACACGTCGTTGGTCGTTCGTCAGGCGCGACCCAGGAAATGGCCTCATCATATGTTGCCGCAGCGGAAAAGCCTCATCTGCCACGAACACGTGAGGCACGGTCACTGCGGAGCCAGGGAGCGGCTCTGGGCCTGGCAGAACAGGCGGCCCGCCGTTGTCTTGGTCCTCCAGCAGCCGACCCAGGTCGCTTCCTCCCCACACTCCCCCGTCACTCTCCTGACCGTGGCTGCCCACGCTGATGTAGCGAAAGCGACACTTCGCGTCCACCACAGCCATCAGCACGATGCTGAAGAACCCTTTATAGTTAAAGTTCATTGAGCCACTGTTGGCAGGCTTGTCGACCATGATATGCTTTCCATCAACCGCCCCACAGCAGTTGGGAAACTGCCACTCCTCCTCGTAATCCAGGGCGTGCTGGCGCCACTGCTCGGGCGACGGTAGCCCCATCAGCCCTGGTCCGAGCTCCTCCCAGATGGCGCGGCATGTCTCAGGGACGATCAGGCGGATCGTGGCGAAGCCTATGCGGTAAGATTCTGCCACAGACTTCATAGTCCCACCTGACGCCAGGTAACTGCAAAAGGTGTACACATATGTAGTAATTAAAAAATGTCAGTCCTTTGTTACGTCATTGCGCCTATGTCATATTCGTAATTAGTCGATTGGAAATTGAGGCACCTTTTCTGGTTATGCAAGCTTATGTGTTTCATTGAGAATTATACGCGCATTGAAAGTATGAAGAGGCTTCAGGTCTTACCGCAGCGTTGCCGCCAGGCGCTCTGCTGCCGAGATCGGCTTCCTCAGGTGCGTGATCTCCTTCGTGATGACGGGCTCGATCTTGCCGAGCACCTCGTCAAATTCATTGACGCTCATCCTGAAGTAGCGCCGATGGCCCTCAGGATCATTCTGGCGCAGTTCCTGTACTAGCGTGTGGAACTCGCCGCACTCTTCTCGGCGCAACAGCACCGGGCGAACCCACAGGCTTCGTCGCTGTCTCTCGCGTTCACGGCGCAAAAATAAAACTCTTAATAATGTTTGACGATCCATTTACTGCGGCTCAACTTCAACAGATCAGACAATACGACGTACACAAATGCGGCTGCTGCATAGCACGCATTCGCAGAGGCCGCTCCGATTGGAACGAAAAAACGCAGAAACCGAAAAAACGCAGAAACCGAAAAAACGCGGAAACCGAAATCCCGCAGAAACCGAAAAAACGTCGCTAGTGTAGCCTGAGCTTTAGACTTTCACTTTTGTTTACTTTTTTGGGATCTCCGCTGTTTCTAGCGACTTTATTTTAGAAGTGCGGCGTTTGCGGCAGATGTTGCGCGCAAATAGCATATACCACCGCGTGCTACAAAACATTTTAGTCAAACATTTAAAAATCGTTAGATATCTGCGCTGACGTCACACATTCAGAGGGGTATTCCTAAGCATTAGCCCCTCTGAATCAAAATGCTGCAATTTTGAAATTCAATATTTCCGATTTAAGGCATTTCTCGATGTTGTGAGTGCCGAAACCGGTAATTGTGAGCCAGGGACCCCATTTTGGCTATCTCAACTCAAATCTAATGTTAAGGTGGGAGGGTCCCTTTAAGTAATTATAAATTATAATGTCAATGAATTGCAAATGAGCCACTCAATCATACATTTGAAGACACCGTAAGGTTATTTCCGCGGCCTTCAGAGGCCAGCATCACAGCCTGCCTTTGCAGGGGCTCTCCGTCGCCCCGAGGCCAGCGTGAGCCCTTGGACCTGCGATGGGTCCTAGACTCCTAGAGGCCCTCGTGAAGACCCTTGGAGACTCACATGGAGCCGTGAGAGGCCAGCGTGGCCCCTGGGGCCTCCGTGGGGTCCCTCAGCGCTCGTCGTGAGGCCCCTTAATGTTTCAGGGGCCGTAGAGGTCACCGTTTAAGGGCCCTGAGAGACCGTCGTGGGGCCTTCAGAAGCCAACGTACAGCCCCTGGAGCTACGTGGGATCTTCAGAGGTTATTGTGAGGGGCGAGGGCCCTCATAGACCGTCGTGAAACCCTCAAAGATTAGCATGAACCCTGGAGCCTGCGTTGAATCCTAGGGGCGTCGCGCGAGGGCCCTCAGAGACCAGCGTGTCCTCTGAAGCCTGCGTAAGAGCCCTCAGCTATCGTCGTGAGGGCCCTCAGAAGTATCATCTCGAGAACCCTCAGAGACCGTTCGTTGTTGAACCCTTAGAGGCCAGCGTGGCCTTTGGAGTCTCCGTGGGAACCTCCATGGGAGTTTGCTGTGAGGGCCCTCATAGGCTGTTGTGGGGCCCTTCGGGGGACATTATGGGACACCAAACGCGGCTTGGAGCGCTGAAAGCCGGTGTGGTAGGTACCTACCCATAGACCGGCGTGGGCGCTCCTGGGTCCTGGCCGTAATCGACTTTCCCGATTATTCCAAATCGGCTTTCGTTTCCCGATCGGCTAGCTTTCAGGAGAAAACGTAAGGGTTCGACGGGCCCCTGCATGGAATCTCTCTCCCCTCCCAGTAAATGGATGGGGTGCAGCTGCACCCTCTGCACCCCTTCTTCCGCCGCCCCTGCAGTGGTTCTCTTGAGTTGAAGGATGGGTGCAACAATGGCGGCCAAACCTAAAATATTTTTGTCCCTAGGCTCTGGTATTTGGCGGTCCTGTGCCCTTACATCCTCGGCAACCACTACTGGCTGACATGGTTTCGATACCAGTGTCCGTCAACCACTTTCTCAGATCCGTCTACACTATCCCCGCGTTCGATGTCTCTCGGACGACGAAGATTCTACGTCGTCCGGCCAATCCCGTCCAAGGTCAGCGGGGGCTCGGTTGCGGTTATGGAACGTGATTGGCCGGACGGCGTAGAGTCTTCGCCGTCCGAGAGACATCGAACGCGGGATTTATCTATCCTCAAGACCAGTCCATTCGCATCAAGGGACCATGTTCTCACTTCTCACTATTCTGTCCGGGATGGGATGGCGGTCAGGCCGGTCACTTGGAGTTCCCAAGGCATTGTAAGATAGTTTCCTCATAAATAGTTATATCTATTATAGCCACCAGTGGACGGTATTATGCCGAAAAAGTCAGTCGTTCAATTCAATTATATGCTTATCATGTGAACAGATGATGGGTTAGATAAAGCTTTCAGCAACGATTTTCAACAATGTGTATTGACTAGCCTCATTGAATGGCGCTCGACCACACCACAGCATTCCACGTGAGCCCACGTCGAGTCGAGACGAACAGTTGACCGGCTCACTCATGGCTCATCCTGAACCCCGCCCACTACTCATGAGCAGTAACGTTGAGGGAGCAAACGCACTGAATGGCGAGTCAGGACACTGGGCGGTGAGCACCCAGCCAAGAAATATCCAGATGATAAATTATCCGAGTATCCACCGGCCCTACGGCTCACGACATGAACGGTACGGGCCCGAACTCCCAGCGACCAGCGCCGCCTCGCAGCAACAGAACCGGTAAACGGCTGCGGTTGTTGATCTGCCGAGCTATTGCGGAGCTGTAGCGCCCGGGGCAACATACTTAGCCCGGGGCGCGGTCGGGCAGAGGAGCTCAGCCGGCCGCCGCGAACAGTCAACTGTTTACCGGGCCGATAACGAGGGGCACGCGTGCTTGAACCGGGCGAGCGGCTCGGTTGGCGGATGAATGGGCAGCCTGCTCCGAGTCGTACCGACTGCGAACGGCACTAATCGAGCGCTAATCGTCCGAGGAGCGAGCCTGCCCGACGGGTGGAGAGACACCCGTTTTTTGGGTCATATACCACCAGCACCATAGGCAGGTAAAACACTGTGTGGTTGCTAGACGGAGAGGGATACACTTCTACTCATAGCTCTAATAATTCTGATTCATGACTCATGACCTGACCCAACAAGGTCACTAAACCATCCCCATATTGGCCTTACAGCGTCTAACGTATATGCTAGGAGGGTTCGTATGACCCATCCCCCGGCCGTTCGGCCCCTGATCGAGCTAGATCGAGGAAAAAAACGTGTTGCTTGTGACGAGAGGAAAGCGAGGGGGAGGGGTACGAATAGACCACCTATGTTTGTTACAAATGTCTTGCGAAAAAAAGCGGCGGATCACAACGAAACTTTCAGTACCCTCGAATCATCAATTTTACCAGCACCTTCCCTGAACATTCCCTGACCCATGTGACCCTTTTAGTTTTTATCGAGAACAGGCCAGGATAGTCGGGGCCCGATGAGAGATCAGCGGACCAGAGTCGACAGATAATCTCCGAGTCCCAGGCCCCCGGGCCCAGACCCGGCTCAGTGAGCTGTGGGAACTAGCCACCAGCGCACACACCACACAGGACACGGGTGTTTCACGGTTCCGGTTTACCCACCCAGCACGGATCCGTCCGTCCGCCTCTCACCGAGCAATCGTTTACTTTTTTTTTTTTGAATGGACGTAAATCAAAGCAGCGAATAACTCATCAGGTCTTACGGATGTGTTCGACAAATATTGTAGACGCGCACGGCGCAACATAATATATTTAACAGTATTTTTATTCGGAAAGAGTATTAACGATGAATTGTTTATTGATAAAACTTAACTAAACGTCCCGTCCCCGCCCCCCGTCTCCCATGATCGGCAAACGGCGAGACTAAACGGCACGCTGCAAGGGAGAAAAACCAGCCAGCCTGGCAAAGAGAAACACACGGGAATAAACCAAACAGGCGAACACGGGATAAAAAACAACCGTCTGATGGGAATGCAACAAACTAGGCCAACCGGCCGTTTTACAGCTAACCTTACCTACGGGACGGATCTAAGGCCAACCATTCGTGTTTTTGGAACATGCAGCACTGACCTAGACCGACCAACCAACCCTAATCCGAAATGGTACTTAAGGAATGTGACGTCTTTTTGGCATTCATATGAAAAACAAATCAGCCGTAAGATATTAGATATGAAACAGCACAGTACAAAACCTAACGTCGCCACGATCGCTTACGGCAAGCACACATTAACACGATGACGAGCGAACTGAACGGACAGCACTTCGCACCTACTACCGCGCCACCTGGGTAAAGCAAGCGACCTTAGGTTGTGCAGCGTAGGTGGCAGCATCCGCGGGAGCCCGCAGGTCAGACGGTTGTAGCGTGAGGACGAGGAGTAGTCGGGGCAAACATCAACCGACATACCTCCCAAGTCTGGCGATCGAGATTGGAAATGATACTGAACAGTGTAACATGCAGACAGTACCTACCATCTCAGCAGTACAAACAATGTCGAAAAATGAAGGTAAGGAATGCTGAATAAGGCCCTGGGTCGGGAAATGATCGTAGCCACGTAACATAACATAATGTCACGCTAATAATATACTCGTATCTATGGCAAAAGGGCAACAAAGCTCATCTGTTAAGAGTTTATCACTGCACCGAATTGCTTCAGTTCAGTCCAATGCCATGGCGCACAGAGTATAGATCGTGTGCGTCAATGCTAAGCATTTTTGTACCGTGTGGAGGTCGATTCGGTAGGAAGCAAAGTGCCGACCTTCGTACCGCGTGCAAGCCAGTTCGACCCGCAGTCTGTGCCGTGTGCACTGTGCAGGTCGATTGGTACCTTCTCTATACCGTGTGCCCTGTACAGTGCGCAGGTCAGCTTGGTGGGCGCGTGGACTCCGCTGTGTCCGGCACTCAGTACGCCCTCGGTGCCCCGCCACCGGATCGATGGTCCCCCGTCTCCCAGCAGCGCCCTGTGTGTCCATCGGTGTCCTGGCGACCAACACGGCCACAGCCACGGCGTCCTGCGCGGCTAGGGTCAGTCGCTGCAGCCGGGGACGGGACAGTCGCCGCAGCCAGAGACGGGACAGTCGCCGCACCTGGAGACGGGACAGTCGCCGCAGCCATGCCAGACGTCGGTCTGATCGTGGGCGCCAGCCTGATGGGCGTCGGCGGCCTCTCCGTCCTCTACGGCACCATCATGTGCTACAAGTCGCCGGTGAGCCTGCCGCGCCGATCGGGTCGAGAAGGGGGGTGTTTACTTGTTTTACCTCGTAATTGACGATGTGACCGTTCTAAGCTCGTGGCTAGCTGGCGGGGTAAAATGGTTGGCAAATGTACGATGCAGACTATAAATGCTCTTTAACTTCTGATTCATTTATATGGTTTCGTATGAAGCTATTTCGATAGGTGACAGGTATCCAAGGAAAGGGCCGGACATTTGCCCTACCACAACAACCGAAACCAACGCAATTTTGTCGTTTTCTTCGCACTGAAAGACTCGAACACTCTTTTGGAATAGTTCCTTTAATTTATATTCAGCAAAGCGTAACTTCGAAAGCGAAATCCGAGTATCTTTTAATCAACAACCTTTAATGGAATACGACCCCGCAGCGCTAAATGCCGCCTTTCTGAATCCGCCAGTGCCGGTATGGAGGTTGTGGAAATACGACGCGTTATTCAAAAGCTTCAAGTTCATTGAGAACTGCGTGTTCGGCGCCGTGTGCCACACCGCGTGGTGAGCCGCGACCTCGAGGCCGTGCGGCATCGAGGCCAAACGGTAACGCTGGGCGACATATCGACCGGCCGGTAACCGGCATGGAAGGGGCATTACTGCGTTAAAAGACCCCGCTTAGTTTGGTGTTCGGCTCGGTCTTAGGCAACGCAATTGCCAGGCAATGATTTAGATATTGCTAGGAAGTGGGATGGTAAAACTCGTTAGGTAAAGTCACGTGAACGTTACATACAGAGATGGACATTGAGCCGTGTTGAATAGACAAAAGTTCACGTGTGTGCTTTGGAAAGTTCGCCGCATGGATGAGCGATCCTGTTTACAGAATGACAGTTTACTGTTAGGACTCGGCAATTCGATCACATCACGCATACACGAAGTAAATCCTACAGGGTTTGCGCCGCGTGAATTCCATTTCTGACACGCCTGCCCGCTTTTGTATCAATTTGTAATAAATATTGAAGCTGGGTAGCCCTCCGGTCTTCCCCGAAACCAGCGAGCCATTCAATCGCCTCGATTGGTCAGTCATGAGCAACAATGTTCTGTCAGCACCGGCCGATTACTGCCGTAAATCGACACTGACATCTGGCTGACCAACTGCATTTGGTTTAGCACGATTGTTGAGATCACCAGCGTGTTTAACACATAGATCTTACAAACAAGGGCAATTATTAGGATTTCCCTTTGGTCGCAGTAAAAAGAGAACAAATTGTCTAAGATGACTGAAATCTTGCAAAGTGCCTAAGATGTCGTAAACCGTATCGCTCAGAAGATGAATGTACACGCCAAAAATCACATCAGTTATCAAAAAGTTTCATCTCCGCACTCAGCAGACCAGCAGAATTCACGTCGTGCAAAACGACTTGCATAGTAAATAGTCGTGGACTGTTCACGGTGCCGATTGATCCTCTTGACGCGCACTTGAATAAGGAATATTCCGTAATGCGGTTAACCAGGGAAGGAGAGAGGCGAAGGGCTCTACAGAACCTCTCTTGCGCGACCCTACTCGCCAGAGCGCACCTTCTGATAATGTGTCCCGCCCCATCGTGCCCACAGAATCAGTACTACAACAAAGAGGATATGGAGGCTATGGTCGCCGCCACTGTGCTGGCAGAGAAGACGTCTCAGGAGAAGAACGACAAGTATTTCGACGACCCTATCGAGAAAGACGTCGCCCAGAAGAAGCGGAAGGTGCTGTCGTCCTAAACGAACGGCTGTCATGTCCCTTCTCGGAATTCTTGCGATCAGTCATTTTAGTTGTGTCTGGCGTGGGACGAAGATGGAGTCAAGGCAGATGACGGGGACAATGCCTGTGTTCACAATACCCCCAGTTCGCTCGGCGCTGCCGGTCACCCGTGACACAGGCTCGCAGCTATCGGCCACGAACACGACTATCTTACGGAAATAATGACAAATAACACGAGAATGCATTACTACATAGAATCCTCGTTCAAGTGACCGTCTTGGGCATTATTTTTGGTGGGTGTTCATGTTTATCCCTCAAGAGATTTGAAGCTCAAGATAAAATAAAAAATATAAAATACAATGTTGTTTATTGAAATATGGACACTAAAGTGGCAACCTAGTTACAGGTGAAATGCACTTTTTCCTTTTGTACTGTCACGCACTAGCAAGTCAAGACATAAGACGGACGGCCAGCAGAAAATATGAGCACGATCCACACTACCCTCCTTCACGACAGTGTAGACCAGGCACAACCGATACACGACGCTGCGACACACCTTCACTTTCTGGCCGGTTGACGTGATGATATAACGAAGAGATTAGGTGAACGAGGAACCTCTCAGTCGTCCCGTTCACTGCGCCTGCTCCTGTTCGTCTGACCACTCCTGAAAGAAAGGCGGACATCAGTACAAACGACAACAGCGGCTCACAGCTCAGTATGAGCTGGTCATAAGTCAGACACATCAATGGTCGCTTGTGAATCACCGAAGGAAATTTATTTTGTGCACGATATACTGTCAATCAATTTACATCAATAATCACCTTCCGAACCCGAACTTCCGAACCCGCGATGGTCGTAGAAAGACGGGGTAAACGGCAATAAAAAGCTCTCAACAAGGCGGATCTTAAGAGCCCAAATTATTTTGCTTAAGTAGGTCAGAGGTCAGGTCAAAGTCAGGTCAAGGGTACAAAATGCAAGTTTCTACAGTATCGGCCTTGCACCGTAGTTGCCGAAGAATGGACTGAGACTGATTGCCCAAAACGTGTTTTAGACTACCAAGACAATATTCGTTGCATACAATGTCATTCAAAGGTCAAGGTCAAGGTCAGGTCAGGTCAGGTCACCAAAAACAAAATATAGAAAAGGGCATGTGCGACACATGCTTTATGGGTCATTTTACTCATAGAATTCCATGGGCACACTCAATAAGTGATATGGACCACCTCTGGATGAATTTCAGGTCAAAGTCAGGTCAAGGTCAGGTCAAGTGAGGTCAAATTTTAAAGTTGGTTGTTAAGGCCTAAAAAGGTGTCTATCTGATGCAGTTTTTCACGGCGAATCGAATGGTGCTACTTTTGTTTCCGTAAGAGGTCTAGAACTTCCAAAAAATCATTTTTTTTTTCAAAATTTTGAGTGTCGTGATGTCATAAAATTTTGAATAACTCCCACATTTTTGAACCGATTCTTCTAAAAATTGGTATGTAGGTGCACATAAACCAGTTCTCTGACATATATTCCGTTTTTTTCGATACACTACTCACAATTTTGGATTTTATAATTATTTTCAAAAAAGTTTTTTTGAAAAAATATTGGGCCAAAATCCAAAACTTTCAAAAACCGAGATAGCCATTTGATAGACAAAGTAGAATCACGTATAACCTTTTTTGTTTCGTCTTGATTCCTTTAAAAATGAAGATGTTAGCGGCGCTTGAAATTTTGCCGTTTTTGAGGCGAAAATGGCGAACATGACGTCACTAAAACGTCAATTTCTCAAAGTTTTCCGACGGATTTCGCTCAAATTTTCAGGGAAAGTGTCAAATTGACGTATGATAAGGCACTGAAAGACGTCGCTGGCGTAACGCGTTTAGAAGTTATTGGCGAAAAACGGGAGGGGGGCAGATTCTGCCCCCTCCCCCAAGCGGGGCGCAGGTTAACCCTCGCCCGCCGAGGGGGAGGGGGGCCGGGGGTGACGACTGCCGCCCCCTTCCCCCATAGGGTCTTTTTCGCAATAGCTCCGAACACGCTGGCGATAAAGAGAGATGAAACTTGGCATTCCACGATAGATCGACGAAAGCCGTACACCCTCATATTTTATTTTTTGCTTAAAATTGGTCTAATGGCTTGTTATGGGCGGGGAAGCCAGCTGTGCCAAGGATTTTTTCTTCGAACAACTGTTTCCGAGATATAGCCTCAGGCAATTCCTGGAGGTCACGCTGCAACCCTATGTTTGGCGGCTTATAACTCAGAAACTATTGGTTTTCTATGGTAAAAACTTTATATGGTTCAACTTGCAATCAACCAGCAAACGTTTTGGCTATCCCGGATTTTCGATTTTTGAAAATTTTGATCACGTGACATCTTGATCTTTTTTTCGAAGAGTGACATTGATATTTTCCCAGCTGAAAGTCGCAATTTTGTCTGATGACGATTAAAGCCTTATCAATTGTCATTCATATGCGACAATAAAAAAGTGGCTTTCGGCCTGCATCAGGTCTGCATCGGCCTGAGATCAGGTCATTTTTTGACCTGTCCTTTATAAGTCAATGGCAGAAATATCGGCTACCACCGAAACGCATCTGACCGGTTCAAATACTTTTGAATCATGTTGAGTTAGGCTATTATTGATGACACTGGTGCAGCCTTGCATCAGTGACCCGCTGAAAGGTCATCCTAGGTCACGCGTTGAACACACAATAATTTTCCGTTTTTGGCTGTACCTTTTGATCTAATAAAGAAAGGGACGTAGAATAGGCACCAATCCGTTTGCTTTCACCTAGCGCCAGTTCGTTTTGAATCTCGATACCGATGACCTGTGGTCAGGTCAATTTCTTGACCACCCTATTATAAGTCAATTGGGGAAAAATCAGCTCCCTTATTTTTACACTAAAACGCGTCAGAATTGCCTAATATACCATGAGTGACTCCATATGCGACTAACTTTGACTACCTTGAGACCTTTTTTGCTCTTGGTCAACTGTGACGTTGGTCTTGGGTCATGTGACGTTATTAAAGGTCACCAAATGTTTTTTTGCTAATAACTCCTTACAGGTTTGAGATACAGCCGCGCGGATAGGCTCATTGTGTTCAGCTCGTCATGGCCCATCGAATGATATATATGATGACCTTAAGGTCACGTGACCTAAGGTCAACTTTTGACCTTGACCCTTCGAGGTCAACATACACATGTTTCGATGCGGATCGACGAGAGGATCACGATGGTGCTATTAGTTTGTTCCTAGCTGGGATACTTCGAAAGTTATTCGAGAAAAACTTCATATACATGTAGTGCCGCCATTTAGACTTTCTTTTTACCCCTGTGACGTCATCTTTGACCTGACCTGAAAATGACCTGAGTAAAAATTGTAGACCTTATCCATGTGTACCCTGTGCCGTATACCGCTTGTCGCTATCTTGCTTTGTTCTCGAGATCTCGCTGTCGGTCCCGCTCGTAATAATGGGAAGGTCATAAAAATGACCTGACCTGAGGTCAACGCAGGCCGAAAGCCACTTTTTTATTATCGCATATGAATGACAATTGATAAGGCTTTAATCGTCATCAGACAAAATTGCGACTTTCAGTTAGGAAAATATCAAGGTCACTCTTCGAAAAAAAGTCAAGATGTCACGTGATCAAAATTTTCAAAAATCGAAAATCCGAGATAGCCAAAACGTTTTTTGGTTGATTGCGAGTTGAACCATATCAAGTTTTTACCATAGAAAACCAATAGTTTCTGAGTTATAAGCCGTCAAACATAGGGTTGCAGCGTGACCTCCAGGAACTGCCCGAGGCTATATCTCGGATACCGTTGTTCGAAGAAAAAAATCCTTGCCACAGCTGGGTTCCCCGCCCATCACAACCCATTAGACCAATTTTAAGCAAAAAATAAAATATGCGGGTGTAAATTTTAAGTTTTTTTGGTCGATCTATCGTGGAATGCCCCATTATACCTGACCTTTGATTCAAGCTAAATCCTTTGACACCAACCGCATTTTCGGGTCAGTCACTGACCTATGGCGTCATAGACGAACCTCTGCACGGTCTTCAGATGTCGCAACTTCGTAACGCCCTCAGTGCCAGATGAGCAGAGGTCTCACAGCTTGTCTATCTCGTTTTTTTTCTTTCTAAAGGTCACATGAGGTCAGGTCGATCACGTGACTTCACCATTATAAGTCAATGGGGAAAAATTATTCTGGCGTCGGGAACGATATCAAATTATCCTGCCCACACGGAATCGTGATATCATGCACTCCTTGCAAGTTAAGATGCTTTACTTTTGCATTGTTGATCTTGCATGGCGTCATTTATGACGTCACAAGGGTCATAAGTTATTCGTCAATAACCCCTGATCAAATTGAGCTAGCGAGTCGGGAAAGACACCAATGGACTCTGGAGACTGGAAGGCCAGCCGAATCGAATGATATGCAACACCACCTCCTTCGACCAGCTTCGTGACTTTGAGGCTTCTGACCTGACCATGACCCGAGGTCAACACCTTAAGTTGACTTCACCCAAACAAAAAGTATACCATTCGACGCGCCTGTGCGAGACGAACACGATGATGCCAAAATCGCGGCTCTGCGGCCGTTTTTTTTGCGAAGTTATTTACCAAAAACCAAACCCGTACCTTGGGCCACTTGACCTGACCTCAGAGGTCACCGGTTGACCTGAGATCTTAAAATCAGGTATCAGTCGGTGCGTCTCGTAACGGCGCACAGGGTCGTTTCTTCCGCGATGCACTAGCTCCACCAGGGGACGCTCTAGCTCCACCATGCTTAAACTCACGCTTCCAAAATCAGATGATAACTTTGTGACACGGGCGGTTTCGCGCCACTCACCTGAACAGCGGCCACGACTCCCTCGGCCTGTTCGAGCACCTCGCGCATGAGCCGGATCTCCTCTCGGGCGGTGTCCAGCTGCTCGTGCAGCTGCTGGTTCTCCTGGAGGGCCTCATCCAGCGCCTGCTGCCGGCTCTCGGCCAGCTGCCGCCAGTACTCCCCACTGGGCTCCTCGGCAGCTGCACGGCACACCCGCACACCACTTCACTTATACGGACACACACCGCTTTACTCGTACAAACCTACACTCACGCCACCAAATGAAAACCGTGAGAAACTAGCTACACGCCAGATGGATCGTAACTAGTGTCGCCACGCCAAAGCCGTAATCACCACGCCATATGTGGAAGGCTTTTGATGTCAATACATACATACATACATACATACATACATACATACATACATACATACATACGTACATACATACATGCATACATACATACAACTAGGCACGATAGCATATGTGACACTTAAGCGTAGGTACTATCAGCTTATTAGAAAAGCGAACGGTAGGTTGCGTCTGATTTTGCACAGAATATCTCTATTAGCATAATAATGGTCTAGGTCATAAAGAGACCAGAATAGTATTAACTTCAACTAATTCATCCCCAAGTCGTTCATATCGATATAAACGCTGCGCTGTTACAACCAGCGACAAAAAGAGCCAAACAGATGTGAAAATAACTCCCAACCAACGTTAAGCCCTCAACGTCGTAGCTACGGTAGCTACTATCAGGCCGGAGCGAGCACAGTGGCCACGCAGCCATGACACAGTGACCCAGTCCAGGTGGGCTACTCACCGGCGCACATATCGGCCACCAGCCGGTCGACGGCCGACTCCTGGCCTCGCGGCGGCTCATAGGGATCGGTCTGAGTGCTCACGGTGCAGCGGGTGACCGGCCGGGCGGCAGGAGCGGCGCGCTCCTCAGCGGCCGTCTCCTCAAACACCCGGAGCCTGGTGACAGCAACGTACATCAGTTATCAGAGAATGCATGGCGCTCTAGCTAGGAAATGGTGGTAGGACAGTCTCCCAGGGTTCTGAAAGAAAGGTCTGCGGCCGGAATTCTGACTTGTCACTGATCATCAATACCTAACTGGCCCAGGGTATGTACTATAGTGCGACCTGGACAAAATGCAGCTGAATGCCTTCAAAAATCCACTCGTAAGCGGACTGCAGAAGACTTGGAGTTTTATCAGTGTCAAGATCTCAGATGCTGGACAATCTGGTGTGCGGGATGCTTTAACATATTAATCATGAAGTGTGTCAGGATAGGAGGAAAATGAGTTGCAGACACACGAGGGACCGATCATCACATGTTTAACTACAAAGCGGTGGTAGAAGAAATCAATTTCGAGACACACCGTGGAGTATCAGACTCCCGAGAGCAAAAGCAGATTCGTGTTGCGCTCCGGTGTTCGACAGGTGTGATCAAAGTAAAGGTGTAACAATAATTTCACATGACTGAGATGGTGTGTCGCTGGTGGGATCATCCACGGTCAGTTGAGGTCGGTGGGCAAAACAGATCATGCTCAGCTATGTGGCCATGGTAAACTTTGACTTCAAAGTTCCCGCGAGCTCGGAATTTGACGATCAGTAAACAGATTAAGACACATTGAACAAGCTGTGTATGTATATGGTGGGCTCTGAATTCCTCAATCTATCGACTAAAAAGAACTGAAAATAGCAGCTAGCACCCAACTTTCCCTATCACAGTAGATGAAAGCAACATTTATTGTTGACCTGACCTGAGACTGAGAGGGTTTGACAGGTTTGACATTTGACAGGTAAAATGGGGTATCTTTCACTTGCAACATGACAAAGGATCTGTGAGTTCTATTGCTCAGTCATTGCATTATTTGTAACGAAATGAAATACTACATAGGCTGACCCATAGTCCTGGGGAGTGCCCTTCTCCCCTGGACTGTCAACAATGATGAAATCATGAGGTGCCACCAATGCTCCTTCCAAAATTTATACAACTAAGCATTGTTAAAGGCTCAGACAGATAACATTCAATGCTTATGTTTATGCCAAATGTTACATATATTAGATAGCATGCCAAACAAACACAAACACATCTTACAGTTCACAAACAAATGCCAATACACATATGCATTTTAGAGGACAAAACTGGTATATATGTAGATGAAATCTGACTCTGAATGGAGGGTTAGTAGGTTGTAGGTTGTAGGTTTTGGGTTAGTAGCTTGTAGAATTAGATCTGTAGGTTGTAGGTTGGTAGGTCCAAGGTTGAAAGTTAGTTGGTAGGGTCAGGTCAGGTTAGATATGCTTTTTATCTTCACTGTACTTCATCTTCACACTTACCAGCAAAAACTTGATCAGCATTACCTAAAATACAATGACCCGACACATCTAGAGAACAAACTGGTTAGGAACATGATTGTTTGCTACTTGTACTTACCCATGGTGTTTTCTGGGTTTCAGCAAAAGTGTGCTACTGGCATCATTTTGTCCCTGAAATGTAATGAGGATTTTACATGTCAACATCAGCAATAAAACACAAAAAAACATATTCTCTGTGCTGAACACATGACCAGCATTATTAAGTAGGTAAACAAATTCATCACATTTGTCCATACACTAGACAATGCTGAGTTCATTTGGCAAATTTAAAAAATAACAGTAGCTCAGTAAAATAAGCAAGTATATGTACACTTAACAGTTTTCAGCTACCCATAATTCTCATCTTAAGACTCGACTGACTATAGGTACAAAATAAAATAAGTGATTATTTCTAATATAACCACTTACCAGTTTGTTGGTTTTGTTAGACAAAGGAGTTCTCCTAGAACTCTTAGTCATCTTCCCTTCCTTACTACTAGCTGGCAAAGCATTCTCATTTTGGACTTGCAGCTCCTTCATTGTATATTTTTTAACTTTCCCTCTGGACTTGAATCTGATTCTGAAATGCACAACTTTGTAATGATAGTAAAGAATCAAATATATATGCCTATGCCTGGAAAACTTGGCTTTAAGTGGTGGGCTACCTACCCTCTTCTCAAGCTTCAAGTGGTGTCCCCTGGTCCTTGTAAGTAGGTAGGGTTGGGTCAGGTTAGATTATGTTTTGTTCTTATCTTCACACTTCATGTAACATATTTGGATATAGAAGGTCAAAACATATATATATATATATGTTGTGTTATGGTCCAACCCCCGCACGGCTGCTGGCCGCGCCTGCGCGCGCCCCTGCCGCCGCCACCGCTGGCCGCCCCGGCTACATGCCTGTGAGCGCCTCTGCCGCCGCCAGCTGACTGCGCGCCGAGCGGCAGAGCTGGCGCGGGCGACGAGGCGCGGCGCTCGCCATACTTGTTATCTTTTTGGACTCTTTCGGCCTGAACGTATCGCAGTAAAATAAATCGCGTTTTCCATTGATTGTGTGCTCTTTCACTCAAACGAACCAAAACATAACATGGCGCGCTCGGTTTTGTAATTACGTGACTGAGCAGCTTACAGCGCGATGAAGAAAATTTTGATTCAAGAACTGACGGCGCTGCTGGAGAGGCAGACGGAGAGAGCCGCCGAGGCCGACAAGCGCCTGGAGCGTTTGGAGAGGCTGCTGTACAGAGAGCCCTCCGCGGGGACCGGGACGGGCACGACGGCCGGAGTGTCAGAGTCGGGGGCTGAGCGAGGCGCTGATGAATCCGTTGGACCAGCTGCCGCCGCCCGCCGGACTGTCTGCCTGCCGGCGTCGGCGACTCCGGCCCCGCACCTGAAGTCGACCTCGACGTGCAAAGCCCGTGTCGAGTGCAGTGTGCGCGACAGTGAGACAAGAGCGGTGAGCAGGCTGGAGGACTCTGAGCCGACGCTCAGACACGCCGTGACAGTGGGGGAAACGTGGAGTGCCCATGCCACGTGCCAAGACCTCTGCGGCACCAAGGGACATTTCGTGGCCCACCTGCCGGCCTACAAGAGGGGCCGCAGGCGGCCGAATGTCGCCCATGCCGCCGCCGAAACATCTCGTCAGTTTCTTGAGCGTTGCCCTACCTGTGGCCGTCGCCAGCACGCCGGCGGAGACACGTGTCGCGCCGCTGGCGCCATCTGTCGTGCGTGTGGCGAACCAGGACATTTTGAGGTAGTGTGCCACGAGAGGGCCACCGCCGCGGCCGATCGTCCAGTGGCGACCTCTGCAGTGACGAGAGTACGCGACTCGCCGGTGGTGGCGCCAGTAACGGTAGCCGCCGGCACTGCCGTGTTGCCGCCGCAGGCGGACACGGGCCGCACCGGGAGTACTGCAGCGCAGCCCACAGAGCCGGACGGAGCTACGGACGCCTACGGAGCCTCGCCGCCGCCGGCGGGAGGCATCCCAACTTGGAGCACGGACCGAGTGCACGGAGCCTCGCCGCCGCCGGCGGGAGGCCCATCGGTAGCCACCGGCGCCGCCGTGTCGGTGCCGCCGGCAGACACGGGCCGAGGAGCCGGCCGTACCGCGGCGCAGCCCACCGAGCCGGCTGGCGCGCGCGGAGCCTGCCCGCCGCCGGCGGGAGGCTGGCCGGCGCAGACCATGGAGGCAGCCCCCGGCGTGTCACCGCCGCAGGCGGACACGGACCGCACCGGCCGTACCGCGGCGCAGCCCACCGAGCCGGCTGGCGCGCGCGGAGCCTGCCCGCCGCCGGCGGGAGGCTGGCCGGCACAGACCATGGAGGCAGCCCCCGGCGTGTCACCGCCGCAGGCGGACACGGACCGAGCTGGATGTACCGCGGCGCAGCCTACAGAGCCGGCTGACGCCCACGGAGCTTCGCCGTCGCCGACGGGAAGCCTTCCAACGCGGACCAGCCACGGAAACGAAGCCGCTGGTGACCGGCTCAAGCGTCCAACCCGAAACAACTCAACAACTCAACAACTCAACTCTCGCAGCACCGCGCTCAAAAACGTTAGCTTGATTTGGCAGCACCTATGTTTGATATGGTAGCAACTCTTCCCTAAAATAGAAATGACACTTTTACATTGGCAGTATGAGTTACTGCACACTCAGCAGAAAAGCTGGAAATAATTTTTCCTTTCCATTAATTAAATAGAAAAATAAAATAGAAAACTTATAAAAATGACAATAAATATCTAGTCTTTGGTTCAACTCTTGTGGAGTTGTTCTTTTACGATGTCATGAAACGCTGATTGGCTGTTTTCTGCTACGTATGGGTGCCTGTGACCAGTGGGGTTCCTCAAGGGTCACTCCTCGGGCCAATGCTGTTCATCATATTTATCAATGACTTACCCGAATCCGTGCAGAGCTCCATCAAGGTCTTTGCAGATGATACCAAAATCTTCGGAACACCATCGTCCACTGGAACAAGCTCAATCCAGCGAGACATTGAAGAAGTGGCCAAGTGGTCGGAGAAGTGGCAACTGCCGTTCAATGAATCAAAGTGCAAGGTCCTTCATCTCGGCCCTAGGAATCCTGGGCACTCATACACCATGAATGGTCTCCAGCTGAATACGGTTGAAGTAGAGAAGGACCTGGGGGTTCAGCTGGATTCTGACCTGAAGTTTCGTAAGCAGGCCGCGTCTGCAGCTGCAAAGGGCAACCAAATGCTCGCACTGATAAAAAGATCGTTCATTTGCATTGATGCGACTACCCTGCCGATTCTCTTCAAAACGCTGGTACGACCCCATCTAGAATATGGGAACCTCATCTGGGGGCCCTTCAACCGAGCTGATCAGAGGCTGATTGAACGAGTGCAGCGGAGAGCAACCAAACTGGTCCGTGAGCTAAGACACTTGCCCTACCAGGAACGCCTCCGGCGACTCAAGCTCCCATCACTATATCACCGAAGACGGAGAGGAGACGTAATCGCCATCTTCCAGATTTTGACGGGAGGAGTCAACGTTCGGCCGGACCAGTTTTTCGAGCAGGCAGTCTCATCTGTCACCAGAGGACATGCTCTGAAGCTGCTGAAGCCTCAAGCTGCTTCAAGACCCAGGAGACACACTCTGTCGGTCCGCGCCATCAACGACTGGAATGCGCTTCCTGCCTCTGTGGTCCTCTCTACGTCTGTCAATATCTTCAAAGCCCGTCTCGACTCTCACTGGGGTGATGCATCCTTTGACATCCCAGCCCAAGATTCATGACTGTCTCTAGTAAGGAGCTCGATGAGATCAGATCCCTACAGGCCTTATAGGCCTCAAAATTCTGTATTGGTAAGGTAAGGTAAGGTAAGGTATGCAACTGCTGCAATTGCCCACTCCGAATCAAACAGGTGAGCGAAATAATTGAAAGAACTGCGCTGAAATTGAGTCATTTTGAGTCATTTTCAGCTAGCTTTGGGGCAACATCAAGGCCATAAATGGCAACATAAACAATACATTAGGAGCTTGGCACCCCGTTGGTCAGTTTATAATTAAGTGCGAATTCAAATTTGGCATCCGGAAAATCGAATAATTTTCCGGGATCAACGGTGTTAAAAAAACGGTGTCTTAGGCTGACACTGCCCATGCTGATGCGTACAGCCAACCAAAACTGAAACTCATCCATTCAGACAAAAATCTGGCGAAGTGCCAAACAAATTACAAATCAATATCAATATACCAATATCAATATATATTGGTCATACAATACCAATATCAATTAAACCATTGTCCCCTGACAGACCCTGGACCCATCACAGGTTGAGTTGGCGATCACAATGAGAGGCAATTTAGATCGACAAAAAGCATGACGAATATGGAGATGTTTATTTTGCCCATGCGCCTACCGTCAAGAAACGTTTGTTGTAAACATAGGGGGCAGAATGGGGAGGGCACCGGGGCACCGTGCCCCCTTTGATTTTGGCATTTTAACATTCATTAGCCCTATGGGCGTTGCATGGAAAGAATGGGACCAAAAGTCGGCAGTGCCCCCCTCCCCTTAATTGAAGGTGTTCCGTCGCTACTGGTTGCAAAGGATGCCACATACTTCTTTTTTTATGAATTTAGCCCAAACCTATTGAAGGGAAGGATTGACGGTACTCTTAAAAGTTAAAGCAGGCATCATTGTTTTTTGCCACCAAGGAGAGGCCTATACCCAGAGATGCTTTCTAACCAAACCAAACTTAACCAAACCTTACCTGCAACCTACAACCTAAAACCTAAGCTACAGCACCTCTCCTGACCCTGCCCTCTACCCTCTGATCACACAATTCCTGTTCTATGGCAGAATTTGGAGTCTGTAGCACATGGGCCCTAAGTATGTGCAGGTGAGGCACATACTTAGGGCCCATAGGGGTGTGCTCACACCAGCCGTGCAGCCTGCAGGCGAGATTATTCACCAGGTGATAGCCGCGCACAGCCGGTTCCCTCACTGACTTTGCCTGGCTACGGCCTGCCACCAACCGCAACCTTCTTGTGTTACATGATGCATCTGATGTAATAGTTTGGTTTGCAGGATGAATTTTGGATTTGTATTTTGAAGAATTTTTAAGCATTAATAGGGAGACATGGAGGGAGCGCTAAGCAAGTGGACCAATGTGATGAAGGGCTGGCAAATCCGCTGGTTTGTTCTTGATGAACAAGCGGGGCTTTTTTCCTACTATACGGTAAGGCATTATTACATCTGGGTATGTTGCTGCTGATTTCCTTATTACGTATATTCAATATTGTTAGTTGAAAATGCAAATTCATTGTCTTTATGATGTTAAGTGTATATTCATTTTGACAAATGCTATTCAAATAACCCAAAAATGTGGGCATACAGGTTATCACTCCTAACTCTTGTATCTTGCCTGCACTTATAACTGGAGGGGGGGGGAGGGTTAGGGGCGCGCCGATTACGAGGTCATTTTGGCACTTATAACTGTATCATAAAGACATTCTCCAGTGTCTTTTTTGTGAGCGTATATATTGAGCTTGTAACTCAACACCTTTTCCTCGCTGCCCTCCGCAGTCCAAGGAGAAGATGATGCGCAACGCGCGCCGCGGCTGCGTCCGGCTCAAGGGCGCCGTCATCGGCATCGACGACGAGGACGACACGCTCTTCACCATCACCGTCGACGGCAAGACGTTCCACCTGCAGGCCCGAGACGGCGACGAGCGGGACGGCTGGATCCGCGCGCTCGAGAACGCCATCTCCCTGCTGACGCACAACAACCACCGCATCAAGGTGTGTGTGTGTGTGCCCCGGCGTCTGGAAGAGGTGCTCAGAGTTCCAAATTTAGATATCTACGATTAAGTTTCTTCATTCTTGCCTGCACTAGGGTGGGGATCGGGCAATACAATTTGTCCCAAGTTTTTTTTATACGAATCCTGAAGACGCGGAAAGAGATAGGGTCTAAATTTGCCATGGCACTGTGTTCATTTTTTTTCTTTAACATGGCCTGGAATTTTGTTTGCACTGCCTGGTCACTGGGCTAGTTCATCATGCATGAGGTCATGGTCGGCCCCAAATCGACGAACGTTGTGATATAGCTGTTCAGCTCCCATCTTTGTGCTTTGCCGGCTGCACTGTTTTCCCTATTTAACTCCCATTTATGTACCCTGCCGGCCGCGCTGGGCCCCGCAGTTCCCGTCCAACTCCTATATACCCTGCTAGGCGCTGGGACCCCCGGTTTCCCGTCTAACTCGTCTATACCTCTCCGACAGCGCTGGGACCCGCGGCTGCCGCAGCCGACGATGGCCGACTTTGACCGTCAGCTGGTGGAGAGTGACGCCTACCTCCAGCTGCTGATTCAGCAGGCTCAGGCGCTCGAGCGCCGACAGGCAGCCTGCACCTCCAGCCAGGAGCGCAACCGGCTGACCACTATCATCGACAATGTTAATGTGAGTGGCGGAACGCTATCTGTGGTCTCACCTAAGGCGTGTGGCAGTCGAAATTGGGTACCAAACATTTTATGTAAAACATTTTATGGAACATCTAACTACGCCTGACACATGATGTTTCAAAATACACTGACTCAAAACATACGACCGTTTGGTGGATAACTGTGTATAACGTCAGTCATTCAATTATACGAGCCTTTCGAGCAGCCCCTAGCTCTGAGAAGCTGTTGGGCTGGTGTGTAGGAGTGTTGACCGGTAGTTATCAGTACCGGCCGTCGGTGTCCTGTCCGTGACCGAGGCTGGCTCTGTTCCAGGACATGCTGGATGCCATCAAACATACGATCGTACGCCTTCAAATAGCCAAGGTGAGCGGGTCGCTGGCATTCGGGGTCAGTCCAAATAACTTCGTTTGTGTTCTACCTGACCATGACCGCGGACAAGACTCGCTATCTAACTCCGACCGTCGATTGTTACCCTCTTTTTAATACCGATATTTGAAACGTTGTATTAGCTAGGACCATCGCACATTTATTTGATCCGGGCCGTCATAGGGAAGGGAGAGGTCTTTCATTTGACCCAAATAGTCGTAACCCACAGCGCTCACTATATGACCTCGACCGCCACTAATGGACGTCATTTTATGACCCCGACCGTCCTGCGTACGACCCTCACGGACGAGCAAAAGTCATTTATCCAACCCTGACCGAGGAGTACCCCATATTTCTGTGTCGGCCGTAAGGGATCCTTTATCGGCTGCCAGCCGCCGGACGGATGGCCCGGACGGATGACCGACCCTGACCGTCTCCGGAGATCATAGGTCCTCTATCGACCTGCGTGCTCTGTATGTTTGTATGTCTGTGTGCGGGCCGGCGGTCAGAGCATCGATCGGGCGCGGTGCGCAGGCGCGCGCCGCTGGCTGTGTGTGACCGTGCTGGGTGCCCGTGTGTGCTCAGAACGAGGTGCAGCCGGTGGTGGGCGTGTACCAGCCGAGCAACGCCACGCCGCTGCCGCCGTCCGCCGCCCGGTCCGATGCCGCCGTCCGCCGCGCCATCAAAGAAGGTCAGTGCACCGGCGGCGCAGCACGGAGCGGTCGCTGCGGGGAGGGGGGGGATGGGATGGAACTAGTGCTTCCTCATTAACCCGCGCCCTGGTGGGGTCTGTTTATAACGCGACCTGGTGGGGGGGGGGGGCTATTTTTTGCCCCCCCCCCCTCGTATCTCCGAAACTACTGGACGGATCCGCAAAATTCAAACGGCGTTCGAAAGGCCTGTCAAATTTGTCGAAGGAAACCAAATTTCATTGACCTCGGGGTCACCGATGACGTCACAGGTCAGGTCAAAGATGAAATGTTTCACCGTTCACGGGTCTTCTAGGGAATGCGCTATAACACCGAGGAAAACGCATTTTGTCGAGAATCAGCGGTAGGGCGTCAGTTGCCTAGTAGATATGTTGCTATTAGAGGTCACTGGCAATACCAGGTCAGGTCACAGGTCAGGTCACCAAGGGTCACAGGTCAGGTCACATGAGCCCAACTTTACTAAGGTTGTGTGATACATGTTTTATGGCCAATTTTTCATTTCCAACTCAATGGTGTGGGTTATAAGACTATCAGGTACGTCTTAGGTCACTTTCTGGTGAAGTTCAGGTCAAGGTCAGGTCAAGGTCAGGCCAAGAAGGTCAAATTTTAAAGTTGATAGTTTTGCATAAAATGGGTATTGATTCGATGCAGCTCGTCACGGGGAGTCTAATGGTGGTCTTTGTTTTGCGCTACGGGGTCTAGAATTGCTAAAAATTGAGTTTGAAAATTTGACGTCATCAATTTTGAACAGTTTTTTCACTATAACTTCGCCAAAAAAAGAGGTATCAATCTCAAATTTGGTATGTGGATGGAAGGTGGTAAGGACTATCACATATATTCCGGTTTTTGCGAAATTCAAAAAACTTTTTGGATTTTTCGATTATAATATCCAAAAAATCTATTTTTTGATTTTTGGGGGTTAAAATCCAAAAATTTCAAAAATCCGAGATAGCAGTTTTGTAGCCCTGTCCAATCTACAGCTTTTATGTCTATATCATTTTTCTGTATTTGCGAAGCTATAGGCCTGACAGCTCTTCCCGCGAAACCCTTTTTTGGGTCGAAAACGGCAGAACATGACGTCACTCTGACGTCATTTCCGGTCAACCTATCATAGACTTTGGAAAAATTTTTGGTCACAATGTGTAAAATTGATGTCCGGGAGGGTACTGAAAGTTTGGTGACGATCGGCGCAGCGGTTCTGGAGATATATCGAAAAGTCTGGAGGGGGGGGGGCAAAAAATAGCCCCCCCCCACCAGGTCGCGGGTTAACGGGTCCGTGGCCTGGGATGAAGATTAAAGATAGCGTGTGATGGCGCCATCGTGTTTTAGACGTGTGGCTTTTCCTTTTAGTTATCTGGTCATAACTGGGTCATCGTTGAGAAATATTTATAAAGGAGTGTGTTAAATTGTTAACAGCAGCTTATGTCGCTTATGAAATAATCCAATTTTACATACGGGTATAGTTCTGCGTAAGCGCAGCACTTTATACCTTCCACCATACGGTCTATTGCCATAATTACGACCGTCATTAATCACGCTGATCAACTTCGTCCAGGGTTGCGGTCGTATTCTGATGATGGCACTTAGCGTACAACGTGAGCTCAACGAAGGTACTTTTGCGAGATAGGATATGTGCGTAGGTTCCAGCGGGCGGACGAAGATGTGTGGGGAGTATCACACTAGGACAGGATGCGTATTCTTCCTGTGGCGGAGCTGTGACCACTCAGGACTGCGTGTGCTGGTCCCGTTTGTCGATCGAGTGGCGCACGCTGAGCTCGGGTGCCTTTTGTTTTGTTTGCCGGACGAGTTTGTGTGGTCCTCGGCGTTAGCCGGGCGCAATATCCGGTGGTAGTGCCCTGTTTTCCTGGTGTGGTAGTCTATCTTTCGTCGACCCAAAGGGAGTGAGGCGCCAGAGCCATGTCCGTGCTGAGGCTGGCCAGTCAGCCGGCGCACCCAGGTGGGGAGGACAGGGAGGGAGGGGCACCGTAGTGCCAGCTGACCCAGCAGCTGAGTGTGTTTTCCGTGCCGGAGATGCGTAATCTGTGTGACTTACGTGCTGTTCTCCTACCGGATAACTATTATTAAAGTTAGCCCGAGTTGGATTTATGTCTCCATCAGCTCTCATTGTGAGTTGTGACTTATCCGTACATTGGCCGTGGTCGGTGCAGTTTATTTTATGTACCTCTTGGTGGTCAATGTCGTGCTGCCTCCATCCATCCAATGTCCAGCGACCGGTGCGTGCGGCTCGTCTTTCGTGACGGGAAAGTGCTCTGTATTTCCTTGTACCGCCCGCGGCCGATCTGGGACGCCTTGGGCAGGTTTGTGTGGTCTGTGATGCCCGTAACATGTGTGTGCCCGGAGCCAGTCCGTAATACCCTGGACCTGTCTGTGACCTGTCGCCCTGGGCCTGTCTGCGACGCCCCAGGCCGGTCTATGATCTCACTGTGACCAGTCTGTGACGCCATGTAACCCGTAAGTGACCCTCCTGTGACCTCCTGTGCCCGCTGTGTGACCCCGTGTTACCGCTGTGACCTCCTATGACCGCTGTGTGACCCCGCAGCCGACGAGAACGCGCCAGGAGTGCTGCGAGACACCGAGGTCGGCACCGGAGTGGAGATCGGCTCGGAGGTGCGCGAGGCAGCCGCCTCCTCTCGGGAGCCACCAGGCCGTCCGACAGGTAAGGACCGACCGGGTGATGGTGGGATGAGACTTACACACGCTCCGACTGCGGGCGGTGCTCGTTGTCGCTTCTGGTATGTCAAACCAAGGAAATGTTATCTTTTATGCGAGTCTCGGCTACCCGACCAATGCATGGCGATCGCCAAGGCTCAGTCACTTGTTTGCACACTGGCTAGTTTTGCACTGCTAGTTTTCCTTTCTATCGTGCGATATTAGTTTGTCCGATGTCTTCCCAGCCCGTGCCGAGCCGTGTTCGTGTCGTGTGGTAATATTGTTCGTGTGGATTATCCTCCTTCCCTTTCCGGGCCGTAAACGATCGTCCGCCGTGGGCGGGCCTGCTGCGATAGTTGCGACGGTTCGTTGCCATGACAACGGCCATCTCTGAGCGCGACTTGGTCCGGTAGTACTTGTGCCGCTTGTGTTAACCTGTCCTGACTGTCAATGACTGTCAAATGTTTACTATTCTCCGCCCGCTATGACTGTAGTGACCCCCTCGCCCCGGCTGTGACCCTTTGGTGAGTGCCTCCACTCGTTGTAATGCTTCAATGACACTATCCCCGTCCACTACGACGTGTGGCGACCCCTCTCCCACTGTGACCGTCGTTGACACTACCCCGTCTGCTATGCGCCCTCAGTGACACCACCCCACCATGTGTGACCGGCAGCAGCGACCACTCTGGCCCCGACCTCGATCACACGATTCGTCCAGGAGGTTCCTGAGACGTCCTACTCGAGCTCGGAAGACGAGGATTGGTTCGACACGGAGGACGCCGCTGGCAGGTCAGATGGGTGAGGGGGAGGACTGGCACGGGTAGGACACCACGGACAGGTCAGAGAGGTTGTGGGGAAGCCGGGGGAGGAGTGACACAGCGGGTGTGCGGCGTGTGGCAGGTCAGAGCACTCGGCAGGGTCTGTGTTGTGCCTGCTGATAGAGTATAGAGGACGCTCCTGGTATGCTCACTGGGTAGTGGGTAGTAATGATATGCGGCGCAGTCTAGAGAGGTTTACAAGCTCGGATTACACATCTAGAAGGCCAAAGGAGGGAAAGGACTTGAATGATGGGTGGATGAATATGTGGTACACGACAAAGTTAGAGTGAATGCTCAGCAGGTGCTTCCTGATAAACATATAAAAATGCATTATCATTTATTTGTCCGTGCCTCAATCACCAACGCCCTGATCCCCGACCCGTTCCGTCAGATACCCGCCCTGAGCTCTGACCACCAGACCAACCACAGCCACCACCGACCTGACCTCTGACCTACCCTCAGTCTCACCGCTCTGACCTGACCCGCGCCCTTCCCAGACCCAACAGCCACCATACCTGATCTGACCCACCCCACCCCGCAGCGGGCAGCCACCACCGTTCTGACCAGATCCCCACCCTCCCCACAGTCACCACCGCGCTGACCTCTGACCCGCCCCGCCCCCTCCCTCCAGCCACCACCGGCCGGCATCCCCGGCGCGGCCCGTCCGTCCTCCGGCGGCCGACGGCGCCGCTGCGGGAGCGCCGCCCACCCCGGCGCCGGAGGCGGGCCCGCCCAGCGGCGCCGACTATGACGCCGCCTACGAGGAGGAGGAGGGCGACCTGGGCTCGATGGAGGGCCACGGCTCGGTGGTCAGCCACCTGCTCAGCCAGCTGCGCATCGGCATGGACCTGACGCGCGTCGTGCTGCCCACCTTCATCCTGGAGCGGCGATCGCTGCTCGAGATGTACGCCGACTTTTTCTCGCACTCGGACCTGTTTGCCAGGTGGGTGTGTGTTGGCCTGTCCTGTCGCTGGTAATTATGTCGGGTGGGTTTTTCTCCACTGGTATTAGCGGACTGAGTACTGACCCTCTGCCGACACTGGTGGGACCGATTGTCCCGCCACCTCCGGACGTGGCACCGTTGGCGTGTCCTGCCTCCCCAGCCGCTGGTAGTGGCGCCACTGGCGACAGAGGATACTAATCGCGCCGGTTCTACTCTACATTTAAATTATCTGAACTTTATCATCTGAAATTCGTCATGCTGCCAAACAGTTCTCACGGTTTTATATGTAAATATCCTTTGTTATTAATTGGAAGGTTATCGATATTGATAGGCATGGCGCACTGTCTTTTCAGTATTGGTTTCGCTGTAAAAAAGAAGCATTCATCAGGCATTCATGGAAGGGACCTGTCTCTTTGTTTCAAACTTGGTTATCAATAAGAGGTCTTTAAAAAGTTAAGAGGCCCATGTCTCTCCCGCGAGGTGCAGCTGATTTGCGCGGAGTAACCAACCTTCTGATGGAATCCCCTCCCCTGAGGTGAAATTAGTGCTACGTGCGTTGTGCATTGCGCTATTGCGAACTCACTTCCGCTGCTTTTACCGGTCTGACCCTAGCCGTTCCTGGCCGGAGCAGACTGACTTCCCTCCCCTACATAGTCTTCCTGACAGTCTGCACCGACCCGGCTGTCACTACCCGGATGGGTCTGATTCGCTGACTGACGGAGGGGAGGGGGACACGATTCGATCCCAGGGAGCGCCCTGGCGGCGCAAATGGTACGGTGCACGGTCTAAATGCCAGATCACATCGAACACGTCGTGTCCAACTGATATAGCTCGCCGAAAAAGAGTGTGTCGTAAATGTGTCAGTGCGTGCGGTAGCTCCACGCAGCTCATATTGCCCACGCACTATTTCGAAATTCCTCCGCGGAACCTTTAGTCGCTGCCGGCTTTAACTCAATGTCATTCTAAAGGTCGCTGAATCCCGAAGCAGTTTGGTGATGGATAATGTGCACTTGAGGTTTCTTTTTACATGCCACCCGTTGATTCAATGTCATTGCGGTTAAATAAAACCATCTGTTAGATTTACATGCATATACAGAGCAAGCATTGATGTTTCAATATTCCATCAACATGCGTTGCTTTCTGAACATTTTCCCCAAGATTCCCTTACTACTCAGGTTGGCTCACTAGGGAAATAAAGGTGCCGTGGTGACGTCATCAGAGGAAATCCTTCACGTTCAAATGAAGGGGTCATTTGAATTGCTGATTCTGGCTCGATATAGTCCTGTTTTCTTTTTTAGTTTCAGCTTTATTTATCGTAATTAGGCGAACTCATTGTTACATTGGTACAACTTTTGATGACACATAATCCTTGTTTTTTCTCCAGCTCGCTCGAAAGATGATGAAATTTGCATGCATGCCTATGGGTGAAGGGAGATTCTACCGCCTTGGTGACGTCACGGTAAAGGGATTCTCGAGCTCGTGAACGGGGGCTGATTTTCCCTTATGATACCGTGCCTTGTTCAGATCTCGCATGACAGTTTATTTATATATCTGAGGAAGGAAATGCTTTCTTGAAGCCATAGGGCATCGAACATACCAAAAGTGTTGGGATAAATACTGACGCGTAAATACTGATAAATACTCTACGATTTGAGTATTTTTTATGGGCTTATTATTGGCTCGTAGACGAATGAGGTGTAAAGTTTGCGATCTGGTTATCTATCCCAAGCGCGATATGTGTGCGATATGTGTCGACCGCTGCATTATTGGATCAGAGGTGCGATCAATAAAGTACAGGGGTGTGCACTAGAATCCGGAAAACTTAAACTTGGTGTATCATATAAACTTTTTTAAATATATCACTCTTCTTTTCCTCATAGGTTTGTGATTTGAGTCGCCTTCGATCGGAAACAAAATAAGTAGAAATGTCCTCTGAGTTAGAGCGCCGCACCGCAATTTTTGTGGCCCTCCGTTGCGGCCGCGCGCCCAAGGAAATTTTGGACTTATTTCAGTTCCCGAAATTGACCGTGTACGACTTTGCGAAGCTGCTCAAAGAGTCTGAAGAGACGATGAGTGAGTCTCTGACTCCCAAGAGGAAGGAACAGGGCCGATTCGAGGTTCGGAAGCGGAATAAGGACTTCTTGGAGCAGCCCGAGGCCATTATTGGAGAAGGTCCGAGCCTGCCCATGCAGAAGGTGACCTCGAGGCTCAATCTGCGCAGGGCAACAGTTCTTCGTGCCATTCACGAGGATCTCCGATATCATGAGCTACGTTCTCGAGGTGAGGCAGATGCTCTCAGAAGTCATAAAGACCAGGAAACTCAGAGATGTGAGCTGCTCATCACTTCTTTGAAGCACAGAACTGCCGGCCGGATCTGCTTCTTTCTCTGCGAGAAGATCTTCTGTGTCCGACTCCGGTCGACCACTAGCTGTGGGGCGTCCTTGAGACTTGAGAGAGAGTCCAACAAAGGAACTCACAACACTTTCGACTCCCTGAGGACCGCCATTATCCAGGCCGTGACCAACTTGACCCGGGAGCAGGTCACCAACGCCTGCGGCAGGTTCCGGCTTCCTGTGGAGACTGTGATTGGAGCTGGAGGGGGTTAAGTCGAACGATAGTGCAGAGGAAGGATCAGTCTTCGCTATAAAAGTAAAAATTTTGAAGTGAAGCCTTGCGATACCAAATAAACACTTCAGTTCTTTTCCTTAGTTTTTTTTTCCGGATTCTAGCGCACACCCCTGTAAAGTCTAATTCAACCTTCGTGCATAGTGCATGTGGATTGTGGAACAACAAAAAGGCATCGCATTTCTTGTCTAAAATGGCACATCTAGATGTAATAAAATGTTCGAAGCGCATCACCATTGCATGAAACATTTTTATGCGACCTGACCTGTGACGTCATCAGTCGTCAGTGATATCCAGTTAATTGAAACCTGGCTTATTTCGTCACATTCCTCAAGATAACCTGTTTCTGGATTAGCCTCGCACATCAGGATGGCTAACCCATCTCTCCCCCAGTAAGTCGCGCTGTGTAAAGCGTGGGTTAATGGATGGAAACTGTTGGCATTTCTCGTCAAATCTTTTCGAGCGTTTGCCCCATCTTTTCCGCGTAAAATGTGTAACATCGTCTCTTGGTGTTAACTACGCTATCTGAGCATGTCAGTGGGTCTGATTTATGTAAAAACTAGAAATTGTCCATGCAACCTAAAGCATTAATTGGTTTTTGACTTTCCACAAAAAGGTAAAAAAGGTATTCCACGCACATTAACCCGAGTTTATATCACGGGCACAAAGATGTTCTGATGTCAGATGTGGAATGATGTGAATAAACAACATCGTATCCTCTTTGCTTCATTTGTTTTTGTTTCGAATGAAAGAAACATGACTACTGACAGTCAAGTAATGTTCACAATCACGGTGGTCGGCGGATGATGTTTCCGTATATTTGTTACAAGACAAACGAAAGGAAACCTCAGAAAGCTGCCATTTGAAAGCCATCTTTGTAAGTAGTTTGGATTCTGGTAAGATGGTTTATTCTCAGTTTTCCTTGACCATTTATTTCAGTTGGATTATGACTCAGTTACGTAGATGAAAACGTTGAGCTTTGGTGGACAGTTTGTATTTTACTTGTGTATATACAATCGGACCAGTGAGTGTCACACATGAGATGGACTATCCACCCGTCAGAGGCACTGCTGCGGTTCCGTTTGAGAGCCGCGCGCGAATACAGTCCTCCTGAACAGTGGACACAACGCTCCTGATATACTCAGCGGTAGGCGTGGCGCCATTGAGGCGATGGCGCAGCGCCCACATGGGGATGAGACTACATAAGGTGTGCCGTCGCGCGGCGCGACGGTGCCTAGCCGGTGAGCGGATCAGTCAGCTGGACCTTGGTGCCGCGGTCATTCTCGGTCTTGAAGCGGCCGTCTCCGCTGCTGGACGCTCCGTGGCCGCTGCTGGAGGCAGAGGTGCCCTGCGCCTTGCTGCCCACGCGCACGGCCGGAGCCTGCTTGCCCTTGCCCTTGGGCAGCGACACGCCGAGAGCCTCTCCCGGCAGCTGGGCGACGATGTCGCGACGCGCCTTGATCGCGCCGTTAGCGCCTGTCTTCTGCGCGGTGGCGGCCCGTCCTTCGGTCACTCCCCGGCCGCCGGTCCTGGTCCTGGTCTCGATGCCGTCGGCGTTAGCGATGGCGTCGGTGCGCGCGTTGGCATCCTGTCCGAACAGGCCGTGTCCCTGGGAGCCGGCGGTGCCGGAGACGCCCGAGTTGGCCACCACCTCTCCGTCGAGCTGCAGGTGCGGCGTGTCCAGGTCGACCGTGCCCAGACCGGAGCCCTGCGTGGAGCCGGCGCCGGAGACGGCCGCGCCACCCTGACTGCCGCCCTTCTGCAGTATGTCGGACGTGCTGGTCAGCTTGAAGACGGGCGTGTCGGCTGGCGCCGACGGCAGGCCCCCCTGGCCGGGCAGCGCCAGGTCGGGACTGGGCACGTCGAACTTGACGTCCGTGCCAACGGCGTTGATGGCCGAGAACGAGCCGGTGCCATCGGTGGAGGCCGAATGGCCGATGGAGCCCTTGGCGGCGCCCTTGTGCTTGCCCTTGATACTGAACTTGCCGTCTGGCGTGCCGAGGCCGGTGACGATTGAGCCCGAGATGCCGCCGCTGGTGGAGCCGCCCTGGCGGGTGGCCACCTTGCCGACGGCGCTGCCACGGCCGTTCGACCTGGACTTGACGCTTAGGCCGTCCGACCGGCCGCTGGACGAAGTGCCGGCAATGCTCTCCTGCGCGAATCCGCCGTCTCCGACCAGCGCGCCGGCGCCGGACACGCCCGACTTGGCGGCGGCGCTGCCGTCGATCTGGAGTCCTGGCGCGCGGAGGCCGGCCACCAGACTGCCGCCGCCCTGCGTGCCGCCGTTGGTCGAGATGCTGGCGTCGCCGACGGCGCCGCCCTGCTGCTTCAGCAGCGAGTCGGAGTCGACACCGATGTTGGGCGCCACGCCGCTGGGCAGCGCGTCGTCCGGGCTGGGTACGTTGAATTTGACAGACGTCTTGCCGGCGTTGGCGCCCTTGAACTTGCTGTCTCCCGAGCTGGTGGCGTCCAGTCCGCTGGACGAGGTGGCAGAGCCCTTCAGCGCGCCGGCCACCTTGGCGTGACCAGACTTTCCGCCGACGCGCGCCGCGCCGCTGACACCGCCGTTAGCGCCCTGCTTCTGGGTGACACCGGCCGTGCCGAATGATTTTCCTGCGCCGCGGCTCGATGTGCTGATGTCCAGGCCCTGCAGTCCAACGGTGCCCACCGTCTCCGACTCGGACTTTTGCTTGAAGCCGCCATTGCCGGCGGCCACGGCGGCGCCGGAGACGCCCGAGTTGACGAGCGCCTTGCTGCGCGCCTTGAAGCCGCCCGGTCCGTCGATGGCCAGGTCGAGGCTGCCGGCGCCCTGTGTGGCGCCGGTGGAGCTGACCGCGGCGCCGCCGCGCGTGTAGCCCGTCTGGCGCTGTCTGGACTTGCTGGATAGGCCGAGCTGGGGCTGCGCCCGGGGAGCGGGCGGCTCCTCTGACGGCGGCGGCGGTGGCGGCGGCTCGGTGGGCGGCGCCTGGTCCTTGTACGACGGCACCGGCACGGCCGCCGCGCACGCCACGCAGATCAGCAGGAGATGGGCCGAGAACATAGTGACGCTGGCGACTGGCTCTGGCAACGTGTCGCCGCCGGGGCCGCTATATAGGGTGGCGCCGGCGCCGCCCACGCCGCCCACGGACCGCCGCCGCCGCGCGCTGCGACGTATATCCATCAGCGCGGCCGCCAACGGCTGTCGCCAGGTGGCGCCGTTGCGGCCGGCCCAGAAAAGGTCAAGGCTACCCGGACATAGGGCCGGCGCTCGAGCCGCCGTTTTCATTGGCGGCTCTGCGAAACTTCCTGAGGTCGCGCCCGACAATTATAATGTCAGGTTAATAATCTGCTGAAAGGCAGAAATGGAGTTTAACCTTACGTAAGCGCGAACCACGACGTGAATTCAACGTTATTTGCCTACTAATGATTGCTCTTAGCGATATTTTTCTCGAGATTTGTGTAGTTTTATGTATTTAAAGACTTATTTTTGTTGCAGGAATTAAACATAATATCATTGAGTGTCCTCAAATTCACCGAGCAGTGTTACACCCTCCGACTGTAATTCTTTCTACCCCGCAGTATCTCCGACTTTTGAACACCGTGCAGTGCTACACCCTCTGGCTTTCCCTTCTCTGTTTATGCTGCAGTATCCCCGAGTCCCGACTATTGAACACCGTGCAGTGTTACACCCTCCGACTGTATTCTCTGTGCACCCTGCAGCATCCCCGACTGTCCATCGCCGCGTGGCAGTGTTATACAATCTGATTGTACGAGTATTCTGTTTACCCCGCAGTATCCCAGACTATTAAACACCGTGCAGTGTTCCACACTCTGACTGTATTATCTGCCTGCAGCATACCCGACTGCCCTACGCCGCGCGACCGGCTGGTGCAGGTGCTCAAATGGTACCTGTCGGCGTTCCACGCTGGACGCAAGTCCGAGGTCGCCAAGAAGCCCTACAACCCCATCATCGGCGAGACGTTCAGGTCAGTTGAAGCGCGTCGAAAGACGGATGGGTATAGAAAAGTGTGTATCTACCGAAAGGTAGCGCAAGCCTCAAGCTATTCTATTCTCTAACTAATGTCTGTTGATGTCGGTGTACTCTTATTGGGCGGTGTCTCGAGTTGTATTCGGTCTTTTCCGTGTCTTTAACAAATACGGAGCCTGTGGTGGACCCCTCGCAGGAACCGTCACAGGGTCCGCGGGTGCCACGGTCTCTGTAACCGTCACGCCGTGTCTGTCTGTCACGACACCGTCACTGTGGCGGCCGTGACATTTGTCGGCGCTGATCTGCCGGCGGCTCGGTTCTGCTCCGTCACGCGGGTCGTGACGGGCTGTTTCGTCACGCGGTTCGGTGGCCTGTGCCGCGGTGACGGTGACGGTCCCACGAGTCGTCACCGTTACCGAGATGTCGGCCGGTCGAATCGAACTCCGTCCCTGCAACTTAGCAGACGTGGAAATCTGCTCAACAGCGTATCGGAGATTCTTTTAAATACGCGTTTAGGAAATAGCTCACTGCTAGTTTGTGTTGTGGCCGATTGTGCCATTATCAAAATTGCAGCAGGCCCAACCGAACAGTGGGGCAGTGCTCGAATTGGCACCGATGGCTGGTGAACTTCGAGGGCGCATAAAACTTTAGTGATCACCGGACATTTATCGATCCTTTTCAACCTTATCGCTCGACATTCTTGCGAAAAGAAGTCATCGGACTCTCAGATTGCCCAGATTTTTAGAGTAACAGATAATTACAAGTCAATGAAAACTGGCTAAGGTCACCAATTGTGCTACCACACACCCTTATAGCTATGACAAAGATCACTGGTCTCGTGATCTTTGTGGCCGGCCCGGTGAACCGTCCCCCCTTCCGTTCGCCTTTATATTTCCCCTTGACTGTGGAGCTGTTCGTTCGCCGTTTTTCATCAGTAGGCTACCAGCTTGCTGGCGTTTTTCGGCCTCTCATAGGCTGAACCCACGTTGTCTTTGCGCCTTGCGGTTCACTAATTGAGGTCAAGAAACGCCAGCATGGGTAAACCGATAAATTTGGTACAGCATGGGTAAATTTAGGTAAACCGGCAGGATGCTGAAAAAATGACAACGAGCGGCGTACATGTCTCTGCCGCGTCACTAGCGTCGCCCCGACCTCATGTCACTGTGCGCTGTCAGCCGACCGACCCGGATATCCGCGTGTGATCTGACTGCGCCACCCTCGCTGACTGCGCCACCCTGGCTGCCGCCCTCAGGTGTGTGTTTGACGTTCCGGACCAACCGGCGACGGCCGGCCGGCCGCCGGTCACCGATGGACCAGTGCCCTGGGGAGGCCGGCACCAGGTCTGCTTCGTGGCCGAGCAGGTGTCACACCATCCGCCCGGTGAGTGAGGGCATGCTCAGCTTATTCAGTGAGTGAAGGTTCCCTTACCGCGCAATTTTGGGTCCACTCACCCAGTGAATGAGGGCTCACTTAACCCATGAGGACTCGCTCGCCTACTGCAGTCCGCTCTTTCGATAAGTGCGGGTCCGCTCACCCGATAAGTGAGGACCCGCTCACCCGATAAGGGAGGGCCCGCTCACCCGGTGAATATGGGTGTGCTACGTTGATTGGGAGGGGTCCCGGTTCATGAGGGATATATGAGGGATAACGTTGCTTATCACGTCTGAGAAGGATGGCGCGGAGCTCTACCATCCTTGCGTGAGCTACGCACGTTGAGTTAATTCCAAATCGACTGATGCATTACCAAAGCTGGCTTTTGGCTGGCTCAGCAGCAGTTACCAGCGCCGCCGGCTGACTGACCCAGCAGTCAGCACTGTGCCCCTCAGCGGGCTGGGCTGGCGGCGCCGTGTGGGCGGCCGGCTAAGGTCAGCGCCGGCCGATGTGACAGTGCCGACCGGTTCGGTGTCACGCGGCTGGCCCCTGGCGCCAGATCGCCCGACGGGCCAACGGTCGGAGGGAATCAACTGTCTGGCTAACCCTCAGTCCTCAGGGAACCCTGCAGCCCTGAATGGAACAGACATTCTACCCGTATGCTCAGCAAGCTCTGTTGTCTTGTGTCATGTGTATTGAATCATGAATGTGTCATAGATGACCACTTTGCTCCAAAATCCAAACATTCGCTATTTTCCGAGTTTTTTTTTAAATTAAAACGCTTAGTTTATAAACAGTTTTCAACTTTTCAGCGTGGTCAGATTTCTTCACGCAACTTATTAGTACCTAAAACCTTTTAACTCGTTCCAATGGGTTGAAGAATGGTTTCGCTTAGACGATAGAACTGTTCAAAAGAGGTGTCTGGCTGAGCTACTAAGTTCCTGAGCTTCCTATAGTCACTGAATGCCTATAGATGTCGGTTCTATCGTCGGGTCGTGACACGGACGTAGGCTCACCCTTCCAATCCCCCACCTTTCTCCTCCCACCTTAGCTTTTCGCCTGCCACTTGTCATTTATTATGACACTGGTGCCTGTCATAATTGATGCCTGTCAGTATATACGGTTAAACTCGGATGTGTGCTTGTATCCCTGACTAGATTACAGTATTATCGCCTGTATTATCCAAGTCTACTTAATTGTATCCATTCCACATAGTTGACGTGTTCCTGTTCCGATTGCAGTGTCTGCGTTCTACGCGGAGCATTACGACAAGCGCGTGTCGCTGTGCGGCCACATCTGGACCAAGTCAAAGTTCCTCGGCCTCAGTATCGGCGTCCATAACATCGGTCAGGCGTGCGTCTCCGTGTTGGACAGGGATGAGGAGTACATCCTCAGCTTCCCCAGCGGCTACGGCAGGTGGGTGCTCCGGCTCCGGCTCTTGGTGGGACTAGTCTATGGTCAGTGGCAGTGACCATACGTCAGCGTCTTGTATGATTTAGCCTCAGTTTCACGAACAACAACGCTTTTGTTCGCACCATGCTTCCATCAGCAACACTGTTGATGACGCTGTTGAGTCAAAAGAACATTATGACTGCCTTTTACGACATATGGGCAGACTGAATCGACGAAAGACTAATGTCTCAATAATTAACCATTGTTTTTATCTCGTCCTAATCGTATTATTTGTTTACGAGTTGGAACCCACAAGACTACCAGTCCTTTCGGTGTCCTGTTCTGTCAGAACTGACCCGGCCGGCCTCATCTCTAGGTCGATCCTGAGCGTGCCGTGGGTGGAGCTCGGAGGAGCCATCACCATCTCCTGTAACAAGACCGGCTACTACGCCAACGTTGAGTTCCTCACCAAGCCCTTCTACGGCGGCAAGAAGCACCGGATCGTGGCCGAGGCGTTCGAGCCGGGCGCGCGGCGGCCCTTCCTGCGCGTGGAGGGCGCCTGGAACGGTGTGATGCAGATTAAACAGGACGGCGCGGTGAGTGGGGCGGAGAGGACGGAGCCTGTGGTAGGGCGGCTAGAATGTCGGGGACGGTGTTGGTAACCAGAGGTGTTAAAGGAGTGTCAGAGATAGTGTGGGAGAGCCAGGGACGATGAGGAAGAATTATGGTGGCTGTGGGAAAGCCAGGAACACTGGGGATGGACGCCAGGACGTGCATCAGGGTTGGAGGAGCGGGAGGATAGGAGAACAGGAGGTCGTAGTGAAATAAGGAAGAAATGCGTGCACCGGGTGCGGTCGAGTTACTCACCACCACTGGCTTCCTACCAGGGTTGTGCTCGACTCAAAAAAATTTGCCGACTCGACTCATCATTCAACTTCAGAAAGCCCTGACTCAACTCTGACTCAAACAAGGAGCTGATTTTTTCCTTTGACTCGACTCATGACTCAAGCGGCTCAATGAAAATATGAGTTGACTCAAACTTGACTCAAATTTTTTGTTGAGTCAAGTGTGGACTCAAAATTGACTCAGATAAAAAAGTTGTTAAGCGGGGGGGGATGAAAAAAAATCTGGTAGCAGGGGCCTAAGTTATTTAGGGGGGGGGGGGGTAGATGAAAAGCTTATATATGTTGTTTCTAGAAAGATGAGTCAGCTGACTCATGTTCCTAAATGTTTTTGACTCAACTCAATGTCAAAAGTTATTTTACTGACTCAACTCTGACTCAACTCAACACCTTAATATTTTTGTCCGACTCAACTCTGACTCAACTCAACAGCTCAACATTTTATCCGACTCGACTCAAACCTGACTCATTTGAGTCAGAGTTGAGTCAAATTTCTGACTCGACTCATGAGTCAAGCACAACCCTGCTTCCTACACAGCTCTACCCCTGCTCTAGTTAGCTTATGTGTCCACGGTCTCCATTTGACTTCCCTCTACCCCTCTCTCGGCTTCAGGAGCCGACCACGTTCATCGACACGCACACGGCGCCGCTGACCAAGAAGAAGGTTCTGCCAATCGCCGAACAGGACGAGTACGAGTCGCGCCGGCTCTGGAAGGAGGTCACCTACAACCTCAAGTGAGCGACGCCGGCCGGCAGACATGCTCGACCACTCGGCCGCGCTGGTGTCCCTGGGTTTCCCAGAATAAATTGTAGTGGGCTAAAGATGTGGGACGGCAAGGGTTCTGAATTAAGATGTCTACGTCAAACTACTTACAAACTATGCAGTTTTATTCAACGCTTAGACTATGCTATTTTTCTCAATATTGTTTGTACATCCTGAGCGCTCGTTGAATGACACTGTCCCTGTATGTAGATGGCCGTTTCTGATGGCCTAGACGCATATGGACGCCTAGCCTGTCTGATGGGCGATCTTGCTCCATTTCTTAGGTATAACAACATAGACGCGGCCACGGACGCCAAGTGTTTCCTGGAGCAGCGTCAGAGGGACGAGGCCAAGCAGCGGAAGGAGCGAAACCTACAGTGGGAGACCAAGGTACGTAATCGGGGAATGTTTAGGGGATGGTGTGTCTGGTATTGCGGGTTATCCATCTCGGACTTGGATAAACATAGGGACTGAATGCTGCGCCGAGAGCACAGGCCGGCAAGATAGGGATAAGTCATGCTGTTCTGGCTGTCGAGTGGCGCCTGGACCACCAGCTTCAGTCAGCTGTGTTGTTCAGCTCGATCTAAATCACCTGCTTTCGTCGAGCTCCGCCAAAGCCGGCCTAATCAGAGCCCCACTCTCCCTCACTTCCTCCTTGTACAGTGTCTATCGTCTTCATACCCATCAACACCTTACCTCCCTCTGACCCGCGCCGCCCTCTGCGCCCTCAGCTGTTCCACAAGTTCGACGAGAACTGGATCTACGACCGTCCACTGCAGCAGCGGCTGGCGGCCGGCGGCGGTACGGCGTGAAACCGGCGGCGGCGGCCGGCGGCCCACAGCACCGTCTCCGACCAGCACCACAGCTGAGTGGGCGGCACGGGGCTCCGGCCGGACCGCTCGGGGCGGGGCACTGAGCTCTCATACGGAGCCGGAGACCACTGCAGACTCCGGCGCGTGCAATGGATTAATATGTACTTGTTGAGTACTACCTGGTCAAGAAGAATTACTGCCGCGGAGAGGCAGGATTGTTCCTTCAGTTTAGTATCATGAGTAGGAATCAATATTCTCCCTTCCATTTGTGGAGCGGTCAGTTATGTGACTGGCCGTTGAGTGAGGCCGGCCTGCGGTCACCGGCGACTGTGATCTGTCTCCGGAGGGCGGCCATCCGCCGACAGACTCCTGAGAGGCTTCCTCTGCTCCGAAATGGAGGGACCCACTGTAGTCAGGTCCGTTATACCGAGTATGGTCCTCAGTTGTGAGTTATTTGGGTACCGCTGGAGGCTCGCTGTATCGAATACGGCCCCACGTAGCGGAGGTAGTGTCCTGTGCGGAGGCTATCCAAGGGCGGGCGTACCGAGGGCCGCCCGCCGGGTCACTGGTGTGTATCTGGGGTACGGTTATCGATCGAAGGGACCGTGACAGTGTCCCGGGCGGTTATTCTGCGCATCTCAGCGCCGTCAGGGACAGGGGGTGTATCGCGTGGCGGTCGTGATGGGCACAGTCTGCAGTTTATTCCATTTGATGGAGGCATTTTAGCGAGTGATGGGCGCGGCCGGGTGGCGGTGGTGGTCGCCTCTGTATCAGTCAGTTACGGACGCGCGCGGCCGACCACCCTGTATCGGAGGTGGAATGGTCTACCGCACTATTCCGGTGGCTTATCATTGTTCCGTATGTGCTGTGATATGTGAATACGAATTGAGACATGAGATCGAGCTTGTTTCTACGTGCGGAGTTTTACATTGTGGAACCAATGGCGCGTCACCTCGTATTGAATGGATGTGCTGTGTCAGTCGGCAACGGGTAGCTAAAACACAAAGTTGGTGATGTTGCATATTGCATGATGCTACTGTCCGATTCGGAAACTACAGTTAGCCTGCAGAACTGCAGGTGAAAGTTCAACCTATCCACGTAGCCTCAAACGACCCGTTCTATTGACTCTCGGACCTGGTCAAATTGTGACTTCAAACGGCTACAGATGTTCTCATCAGCCGCGCACCAGGGTCAGCTATGCATCATGCACGAACTTCACAATATTGTATTTAGGACAGGAACACCTCGAGCACCACCCGGCTATTCCCACAGAGTCGGATGCTCTGCCGGTTTCAGTCGACTAGACCTGCATAATTAAATCTGCTTTATCTCGATACTTGCGCCGAGTTATTCATGTTTCCTCAAGCAGTATCGACGTAACGGGATCCTGGAACACTGTTCCGTAACAGTCGGTGTAGGATGACCTGAACAGTGTTAAAGAAAACAATGTTGGCGACAACTCGGTCTGCTTCCAATTCTAAAGAAAGCGTTATCCCCCTTGGCTCTCTATGCAAGATTTAGGAAATTTGGCGTGTAGGTACTACGTGCTGCGGCGCTACGCAAAGACAAAACAGGGCTCATTGGAGACGATAATATATATTTTTTCACGGAAGATATGAAAAGAAAATAACGAGTAGTTGGTACGATAATGTTATATGGAGCCCCAAATTTAAGAAGGATAAAGACGCACTCGAGCAGGTGCAACGGCGGGCAACGAGACTGGTGAAGGGGCTGTCTCACCTGTCATACTCAGATCGTCTCAGAAGCCTCAATTTGCCTACCCTTGAATTCCGAAGGCAAAGATCAGATATTATCGAGACATTCAAAATCTTAAAAGGCTTCGACACGGTGAACTACCAAAGAGAGTGCTCGTGTTGTCGCAACAGCATGTTCAAGAACTCTCTTAGCCGTACCACCCGAAGTCATGGTCAAAAGCTGCAGGTTCAGCATCAGTTGGGACCTAGGAAAGCCTTCTTCGCGGCACGAGTGACTCGGGCGTGGAACAAGCTGTCTAGGAACACTATTGAAGCACCAAATGTCGATGTCTTTAAGTTCAGACTTGGGAAAGAATGGAAGGACCACCCCGACAAGTTTAACTACAACTTCTCCTACTAATGCTCAAGAGTGGCTACTCATCGTATTAACAACAGTAGCTACTGTCACTAACAACAGTGGTCGTCATTTTATGGCGACAACAAGCATGGCAGCCAACTCGTCTTCATCAGAAGAGGAGGAGGCGCCTCTTGAGTAAAGGGTCTTATTACTCGAAAGGGTATCTAATGACCTTTACTTAAGGTAAATACTTAAATAATGCCTACCCACTAACCGCTCATCGTAATGCGCATGAGAATAAGACACGTGTAAGTGCACTGTCAATGTTCACTTTATGCAGGTTTTTATTGCAACGACAGAAAACCTTAGCTTGACAAGTATTCGCTTTATTAACCGACAAGTACCGTAAAGTGGGGCTATTTGAAACGGGTTTTACAGTTTTTGGCCTCTCCCTTTAAGGCGGTTCATATTTCTTATAGCATGTAAATTGCAAAAATGTAGTTCCCTGTGAGCTCTTTCATATAGGTGCATTTTGCTTCAGCTAGTGATAGTAATTAAGGATATTTTGTTAGTTAAAGCCTGTCTCAAATAGCCCCATAGGGTGGGGCTATTTGAGACACTTTTAGTTACGAAGAAATTGAAGAAAATTGGTCACGCTAGAGATAATTTTTTAAACGCCATGCGATTGGAAGTTAAATTTTGATCATTCTGGCAAAAATTATTTTTGCAAAGACAGTAATATTTCCTTTGTATTCGATCTTTTCCTTTTTCGTAGGATGCTTCATTTCGGTAGGTTATAAAATTGCATCACTTTATGCTAAGGCTATCATAATATGATGTGACACTAAACTTTCAAAATGACAGGATGATCATTGAGGACCATTTCAAAGTCAACGACAGTAAAATTTTGAAAGAAAGTTTTCGTATATAACCCTGGTGGCGTGAAAACAGATATACTGAAAGTCGGTGGGGCTATTTGAGACAGGCTCGCTACCTAATGAAGCACACTGTAATGAATCAAACGAGCTAAAATCTTTCCCAAAACATTTAAGTGAATGGTCTGCATGATTCCTTGTTCAATTGCACATCTTCGTGCGAAGAAATAACAGAAAAATGTTAAGCGGTTTTGATTTTATGCCGATTTTCCTCGATCACTGCACGCTGTATCAATTGGCCGGTTACCCTACCACATCAAGTGTACTTGCATAGGCTCACCTAACAGGACGTTCTTGTGTTAAGTAATCTTCAATGGTGTTTCTGGTCAACCAAGGCAGACATGTGTTGATTGTCACTAAGTCAGTGACTGATGAAGCACATTTTAAGCACATATTCATCAGAATAACTAGTTTGGTCACCAGCTAAAGGGTCATTATGTTATACTACGAACATGTAAATATTGCTTGCTGCTAAAAGTACCCAACATGAACCCACTGCACGTTTATGGCCACGACCGATTCAGCGGTGTTGCTCATGTCGAACGTTCGATGCACTTCAAGTCGATGGTGATAAGTCTTCTCGGGTGCAATGGCATCACCATTATCAGTAGTTATTAGGCATATCGGTTGAGGTTTGACCAGGTGGGCATCATCGGGATTCTGAGACAATGGGTTACGCAATCGGCAGTAACGTTAACAATGTATAATATTTTCATGAAAAATGTGCTTAGCCTATAAGTAAAACGCTAGTAACGATAGATCCAGTAGCGAAGCTGTCAAAACTTCAACCATGTTAAGCTGCAGGTAGGGGTCCTTTTCGAGCAACTTAAATTGTGCGTTTTTCTGTATTTCGTATTCTATGCTAAATTTCTTTCAAAACTTTTCGAAATTTTCAAAAATGCTATTCAGGTCATTCACTGTCCAATTCCACATCAGCCTAAGCAAAAATGACGAAAAATATCAAACGGTTTTCATTTTACAGCGGTTTTAATAAACCACTACCTTACTGTCTCAAATAGCCCCACTGTCTCAAATAGCCCCACTTTACGGTACCTAAACGATGAATCCATCGCCCGTGTTTTGCAAGTGACATAGACTGCATCGAAAATCGTGTCATGGTTAGAATAACGGTCTGAGTGAATCAAATCATCTCAATTTCCCAGCACGTTATTATTCACGCTAACCGCTGTAACCAAAATGCGTAGGTAAATTGACGGTGGCATCAGTAATCCAGCCACTGGGTATTCGCGGCGTTACATAAGCCATTTAGGTAGTAAAGACACTCTTCGCTCACGCTCTGACGGCCGCCGGTCGCTGCCGACGGTATTATACTCCACTCTCCAGTGACGCCTACAGCACCGGCCGCCGGCGCAGTTCACCGCATTGTGCGCAGCGGTGCACACTGCACACTGCACAGCGAGCGGCAGCGCCTCTCGCACTGCTCACACGGTGATTAAGCGCTCACTGTTCACACCGAGTTCACGGTGAGCGCCGATCTCACAGCCTCACACAGTGGCTTAATGTTTACTGTTCACACCGAGTGCACACTGCCCAGACAGCCGTCACTGGATCACTGCTCAAACAGTGAATTCGCCACTCACACCATGCACCGTGCACACCGCTGCGCCGGTGGTCGCCGCACGGTGCAGACGAACGCCGCCCGTCGGAGCCAACTCGGTCATCCATGCCATCCCACGGTTCGCTTAGCTAGCGGCTCGGTTCCATTGCAGGTCAGCCGGCCGGTAATGGCTAACGGTCCGGTCGGAGGCGCCTGCGGCGGTGTGCAGAAGCGCCGCGCCCGGCTGTTGCAGAGCGCCAGTGACCGACACGGTCAGCGAAGCAGCGCAGGTGGTAGGAGGAAGTGGAGAGGCTCAGGGCTTCACGCCCCGTCCAAGTGCTAGTCACGAAGGCGAAGTCGAGCAGAGCGCAGCGGTCGCAGTGGCAATGTGGCGATAGCAAGGATGATGTCAGTGTCAGTGCTCTGTGTTCTCTGTGTTCCAGTGGCAGTGCCGGTGACCGTACGGGTCACTTAGTGACTAAGTGGAGACTGTGTTTAATAATTGGTGTCAATGGATCGGCATCGTTAACAGCGTACCAGTAGGTACCGGGCTTGGTGTATCTGCTGGAATGAGGAGTTATCAGTGACAGTGATCCGCTGTACGGGTCACCAGTATCGGTGAAATGGGTGAATTGCAGTGTCGCTGTCAGTGAACAGGTGACTGACAGTGCTGTGGTATCAGTGACCGTACTGACAGCGAGCCACTGTAAGTGACAGTGTACCGCCCTCGGTGACCTGCGGGGTCACGTACTTCAGTGAACCAGTGACGATAAAAGTGCATAGTTTTCGGTGGCTGTGTGGGACGTGGATTTACTACGTGCGCTGTCGCAGCTTGGGGTCACCTGCTACGGACAGCCACTGTCGCTGACCGTGTAGCGGCCTCAGTGACCTGCGGTGTCACCTGCCAGTGACAGTGTACTGCTGTCAGTGACCTGCGGGGTCAGGTGACATGGCGTCGATCCTGCGTCGGCTGGTGACCACTATCCGGCCGCGGCAGCTCGCTCTGGCTATCGCCGTGTCGGTGCTGCTGATCAACGTGTGGACCATCAGCCGCTCGCCACGCTTCAAAAGGTTAGAACATAACGGGAGTGGATGTGTAATCAATCGGTATTGGCATCATGTAGAGCAGTCCGGATGCGGGATGTGTCAAGGCGACCATACCCGACTATGTATGTTGATTTGCCAGCTAGATTGTCTACTTTGTTGAGTTTGGCTCTTTCGGTCTATCGAAACCATCTCAAAGCCGTATGCTGAGAAGGAAGGGGGGGGGGGGTAGACATTTGACTGGGTCGACAGCCGACACTGCAGTGACGAAGCACCTCTTGATGAAACGGGAATGCTCCGGTGGGACGGTGTTTGAGTGACGGAGTCACTCAAACGGTCGGTTCTGAGAGATATGTATATTTTTAGCACCGCTGAACTTCACTGTTAGTCCCGTGCTCTAAAGCTATTCGCTAACTCCATCGTTCTCATACACTTGCCACCAGTGTCCACACTATCCGATCGTTCACTAGCTAGTACCGTTCGTGGCTAGCTCGACGGCCCTGGACCCCTGGCCGTCCGTTTCTACAGAATAGCCTGGTTGTCCGCCACCTATCGTCTGCCCAAAGACCAACTCGGTCGATCGGTAACCGCTTTCACAGAATAAACTCGGTCGTTCGCAAACTCCTATCGCCTGGCCACAAATTAACCCGGTCGTTGACTAACCCCTGCCGGCAGTGCCTACATGCTAATTCGGTAGTTTGTTGCCCCTTACCGCCAGTGTTCACAGCCTGACTCCATTGTTTTGTAGCCCCTACCGCCTGCCTCCACAAACTGCCGTTCGCTCACCTCTACCGCCCGTGCTCTCAGGCTAGCTCGATCATTGGCTGATCCCTGCCGCCCGCGGCCCGCATCCACACCTTAATTCGACAGTTTGGTGATGACCCCTGCACTTCCCGTTTCTATAAGCTAACTCGATTATTCAACCTCTCGAGCCGAACGTGCCCAAGGGCTAGCCCGATCGTTCCTCAACTCCTACCGCCCATGTCCACAGGATGACTCGGTCGTTTTCTAACCCCTGCCTCCCGTTTTCACAGGCTAACCCGAACGACAGCGCCACCGGACGACTTCTCTCTCAGACTGAATGTAGATGGCGTCGCCGTCAGTCAGGATATAAGCTCGCAGTTCCCGGCTGGTGCATCCAATGATAAGAGAGAACAACTGTCCCGTGTGGTCAGAATGTTCAACTTGGTTGAGACGGAGCCGTCGAGTAATATTTGGTAAGTGGCTAATAAAAAGATAATGTCCGAGGCTCTTGGTAATTACTGAGCCTCATGTAGTTCCTAATTGAGATTCGGGGATTAAATTCTTGAGTTCCGTCACTTTGTCCATAACACCGATGAGCTGTTTTTTTTCTGCCATCTGCCGTTTTACGGTAAAATCCCTCCGGAAGTTCATCGATTCTCTCCCAGTTGAGCCACGCCACTGACCTCCCCTCCGCCCGTCTCCCCCTCCCCTCCCCAGGTACGCCAGTCGTGCTAGCGAGAAGTCATTCTTGGAGGACGAGCTGGCTGCACTTCGGGAGGTGTTCGACTTCTTGGAGCACCCGACAGCACACTGTGCCAACCTGACGCGCCTCGGCGGCCGACAGTACCCGGAGGGTGGCCACGACGGCGACAAGATGGCCTGTCTGGACCGGCCGCTGACACTGGGACAGCCCGGCTGCCTCGTCTACTCGATCGGCATCAACAACGAGTGGTCGTTCGACCGGGCGGCCGCCGCGCTCGGCTGTGAGGTGCACAGCTTCGACCCCAGCATGAAGGACCAGGCGGAGGGCCGGTTCGAGCCGGGCATCACCTTCCACCGGATCGGCATCGGAAGGAACAACCACACGAGCGTCGACGGCTGGTCGATCCTGGTGCTGGACCACCTGATGGCCTCGTTGGGCCACCGGCGGCGCACCATCCAGTACCTCAAGGCGGACGCCGAGGGCGGCGAGATGGACATGCTCATCGACCAGCTGGTCGACCTCAAGAGCATGTACCGCATGTTCGTGCTGGACCGGGTGGAGCAGCTCGGCCTGGAGCTGCACATGCGGCTGCTGCCCGAGCGCGAGGCGGCCTTCTATCGCGAGGTCCGCGCCGTGTTCCGCCAGCTGCGCCGGCTCGGGTTCGATGTAGTCCATTCGGAGCCGAACCAGATAGTGCCGGAGAGGTACCGGTTCCCCGGCGTGGACCGGCCCGTCAGCCTGCTGTATGAGGTGCTGCTGGTGCGTCGGCGCCGCGCCGCGCCGCACTTTGACGCCAACGTTCACTACCCGTGTGGCTCCAAAGAGCGCTGCGACCTCATCGATGGTGTAAAGAAGTCGGTACGCGCGGTAGTGCCGGGCACGTGAGGGTGGATGGTGCCGCCCCGGCACACCGCTCTCACCATAACTAGCAGAGAGAGCGCCAGACGGCCCTCGGTGCTCTGCCCGTCGACCGCCACCTAACGAGCAGAGCGACCGTGGCGCCGACAGCGGCTGATCGGGGTACTACGCCGCCTTGGATCAGGGATGCCGAGTGAGACATGTTATAAGCGGGTGAAAACCAATGTCATCGAATAAAATAAACATGCAGGGATAGAGTTGAGTGAAGTCCGGAGAAAACGCTAACCCACCGCCCGAGTCGCAAGTGTTCGTCTCCCTCGCGACATCGTGTATGAATGCTCAGTGTGCGGCGAATAGCCCGACTTGCCATCTTCCTAAACTATACTCTGGATACAGAGTTTCATTGCCGCTAAGACCGACCTATCTCTAATACACTGCCCGGAGCACGACGGAACCTATATGCGTGGACAGCGTGGATCGCACCGATTTGGTGATTGTAAAATGTTGTCGCCAGCGTGATGAACTGTCGCTAAGTAACTCGTTCCCCACAGATATTTTTCAATCTAATTATTTGCACATTCACTACAATCAAACGTTTTACGTAGTGTAACGTGTCACTTATTCGTATTACGCGTCACCACGAGTCACCGCATCTAGGGACGATGATGCCCCGCAGCCCCACAATCCTCTGAACTATAGCAAACCATGATGACAGGGCGGATTCAGTCGAGTTCGATCGTCATCTACACAAGATCACGATCCGGGCCAGTAGAGCGCCAGATTCCCACTCAGTCATCGTTGCCAATACCGAATTCGGAGCTCGTCGTGACGAGCTGCTAACAAAAACCCGCCCGGCGAATGGGTCACATTTTTATTTTTAGAAATCTAAAAAAAAAATATGCGCCTTTCACATTGAAAGTCATTGTGAAAGGCGCGGAGTATTTTTAATAGTTTATTGTGAACATATAACATTTCTTTTCATTTGAACAATCTAATATTATTTGAACTCCACCCAAGCAGTCAATGGAGAAGCGCACTGAAGGGGTATAAATAAGGCGACAGGTAGGCACTGCTGAAGCTAGATCGCGACGGACGGCAGGCTTTAAGTTTCGATTAGGAACGTCTACAACTGTACGAAAAGCACGAATATGTCGAATATCAACTGTTTTTACACTAGCTAAATCACAGGTCGCCTCTGTGACAGGCTACCCATCTTACAAATCCTGCTTCAGAAAGGATCGACATGGACAGACATGGTATCGTACACATAGAATAGAGGCACGACACAGAAACATAGCAGGCGACATCTCACACACTGCACCTAAGTACGTCAACAGACAACACAGCAGAAAACAGACTGCCGCACCTACAGCAGCACAGTGACAATAAAGTGAATGAGAAACACCTCATGACCGAACCAATAACGACACAGCAACAACTGGAGTGATTAGTGACGCATCACATAGTGGATTGAATGCCAATGACACACCGTCACGATATTTCACAATCTTGCACCAATAGCATCACAGTAACAATGAACGAAGCACATACCTACAGGCTACATTGCACCCAAAGAGACTCAGAATGGCACCACCGCGGCTGCCGAAGTGCCCTGCGGCACACAGCAGCCCTATCTACCACGCATTTGTCAGAAGCTGCCGCTGGACTCTGGCTCGGGTTGACCGTCCTCGCAGCGCTCCCGGTTCTCAGAGATGGAGGGCTGAGGAAGTAAGTGCACGGCTCTGGCCACACGGTCCAATCAACAGGCAGGCAGCAGCGGTGGCCGTAGCCCGTAGCCAGCCGGGAGCGTCACGTTGTCACTCGCTGTCATCCGTGTTGAAGTAGAGATCTGGCAGCCGCCGAGTTCAGGCAGCACCTAAGGTCTTCTCTCGGGCGAGCAGGATGGCTCGCCCGATGAAGAGAGCACTGTGATTATCATATAACTCATTTTTCACTACACTCCCCTACCAGGCATGACCCAACCTTCGCTTAGCTACACGTGGTGCTATCTAGCGAGAGCATACAATAACTACGTGTCATGCGGTACAGCATATCAGGCGCTTACACCTAGCGCTATCTAGCGGCAAGAACAGGAACTTCAAGTTGCCAGTTCTGCAGACCGTTGACTATGATCGAATCGTTTCAGTCGGGGACTCGGGACGCGACCAGAGCCCACCCCGTGGTTGCTCGGGCTCCGCTCGCTCGCCGCACATCAAGCTATTGCTTCAGCGCTAGCCACGGCAGTCAAGTCAGGACCAGTAATACCGGCAGCACCGGACAGTGTACGCAGTACAGCCCACGCTACCAGTGCAAACAACACACATACCTAACCCCACGGTCCACTCAACTAGCGCTGCTAACGACCCAATCAAAACTAACAAAAAGCAACAAAGAAGGTATCTAAACTAGCCTTTAGCTTCTTCCGGACGCTTTTCGCTTCTCTCGCAGACATTGTCACGCTCAAAAGTGTTTTGGTCACAGCCAGTAGGTGAAGAGCAAATAACAACAAACGGAAACAAAATATAGGCAATAACCGCTAGGCAGCGTAAAACGGTAATCGCATTCGTCACTTACCTACCGTACATATCACATTTTCTTTTCGCTCCAATAAACGTATGTTTAACCATCGTGATACAAACGTCAGGTACAAACGTCCTGATGCTACCTACACCCTAAAAAAGTTACGCAGCTTTGGAGCATTTTCCAGGGCGTATTTTAACATGTTAACTGGGTCGGCAATTGCCGACCCAGTCACGGAGAATGCCGACCCAGTGACAGCCGTTTGCCGACCCAGTTGCCGCCCCCTCTAGGCATGCAGGCTAGGTGCTGTCATTCATAGTGAGGCTGCTGCCCTCCGAAATGATAATGCCGCCTCTTAAAGTGAAGCAGCCGTCTATAGAAAGTGATGATCCCGCAACTCAATGTGACAGTGCCGCCCCTAAATATGTTAGTAGCCCCACTCAATGTAATGGTGCCGCCCTTCTAAGCATCTGTGGAGCCCCTCAATGTGATGATACCGCCCCTCAAGAAGATGATGCGGCCCCTTTCAGTATCGGTGGCGCCCCTCAATGTGATGGTGCCGCCCTCAAAGTGCCGTTGGCGCCCCTGAATGTGATGGTGCTGCCCGCCAACGAGTCGGTGGCGCCCCTCAAAATGATGCTGCCGCCCCTTAAAGTGTTGGCGCCGCCCCTCAAGCAGATGATGCCGCCCCTCAAGAAGATGATGCCGCCCCTCAAGAAGATGATGCCGCCCCTCAAGAAGATGATGCCGTCCCTCAAGAAGATGATGCCGCCCCTGAATGTGATGGTGCTGCCCGCCAACGAGTCGGTGGCGCCCCTCAAAATGATGCTGCCGCCCCTAAAAGTGTTAGTGCCGCCCCTTTATAGTGTCAGTGACGCTCTTCGAAGTGTCAGAGGAACCCACCAATATAATGGTGCCGCCCCTCTAGGTATCCACATAGCCCCTCATTGTGATGGAGCTGCCCCTCAAGCAGATGATGCCGCCCCTCAAGAAGATGATGCCGCCACTTTCAGTATCGGTGGCGCCCCTCAATGTGATGGTGCCTCCCTCAAAGTGCCAGTGGCGCCCCTAAATGTGATGGTGTCTCCTGTCAACGAGTCGTTGGCGCCCCTCAAAATGATGCTGCCGCCCCTAAAAGTGCTGGTGCCGCCCTTTACAGTGTCTGTGGCGCCCTTCAAAGTTTTGGAGGAACTCATCAATACAATGTTGCGGCCCTCTAACTTTCTGTAGCGCCCCTCCATATACATAATGGTGCCGCTTCTCAAACCATCCGTGGCGCCCCTCAAAGTGATGGTGCCGCCCCTTACAGTGTCGGTGGTGTCTCCTCAAAAGTCAAGGTGCCGCCTCTCAAAGAAATGCTGGTGTCCCTCGAAGTGTCGGAGGCGCTCCTCAATGTCATGTTGCCGCCCCTCAAACCTTCCGTAACGCCCCTCCACGTCATGGTGCCGCCCCCAATGTGCTCACGGCGCCCTTAAATGTGATAGTAACGCCGGTCAAAGTGCTCCTGGCAGTGTCGGTGGCGCCCCTTATAATGTCGGTGGCGCCCCGAACAATATCGGTGGTGCCCCTTAAAGTGATGATGTAACCCTCAAACAAACGGTGGCGCCCTTCGAAGTATCGGAGTCCCTAAATAACTATCATACCTATTGCCGTCCATTAACGATCTGTAGCGCCCCTCCATATGATGGAGCCGCCCCTTAAAGTATCCGCGGCGGTCCTTAAAGTTACAGTGCCGCCCCTTACAATGTGGGTGGCGTCCTCAAAATAAAAGTGATGTTGCCCCCCCCCCCGAGTAATGGTGGCATCTCTTCTTTAAGTATCGGAGGCGCTCCTCATTGTCATTTTGCCCCACATCACTGCTCACATGGCGCCCTTCAATGTAATGGTGCCACCCCTCAACGCTCAACGAGATAATTGCGCTCCTCACAGTGTCGGTGGTGCCCCTCAAAGTGGTTAAAGTGCCCTAAAAAAAATTGGTGACGCGTCTCGAAATGATGTTGTCGTCCCTTAGCATATCTGCTGCGCCCCCAAAATGATAGTGCCTTCCCTTAACCCTCGCCCGCACATGGGGGTGGTGGTTGCAGTCCCCCCCCCCCCAGGTAGTCATTCTGCTCTGCACTCAACATTTTTAGAGCTAGAAGGCCGATTTTTCGTATAGCTGCTCCTCTATCCTTTCTTGATGTCCACTAAAAATTTCAAGTTTCTGTGATTTTTGGTTTCGGAGATATGACCTTGTTTTTCAGGTCATGTCATAACCCAAATGGCCAATTCTCAACATCTTGCGTTTGCCATGGGCCTTGTGAGCTTTTGACGGGGGACCATCAAAGCGTCCAAAACCGCAGCATCCAAAGTACGCAACATCCAAAACCGCAGCGTCCAAAGTACGCAACGTCCAAAATACGTCCAAAATCGGGTATATAGGGAGCATTCACAACGTCCAAAACCGAAACATCCAAAACCGCAACATCCAAAACGTATCATCCAAAACCGCAACATCCAAGGACGCATCATCCAAAGTACGCAACATCCAAAGTACGCAACATCCAAAGTACGCAACATCCAAAACCGTTAGGTTAGGCTAGGTTAGGCTAGGTTAGGTTAGGTTAGGTTTTCTTATCCCCGGTAGGCATAAATCAGTAGGTTAGGTTAGGTTAGGTTAGGTTAGGTTAGGTTTGGTTAGGTTAGGTTAGGTTAGGTTAGGTTAGGTTAGGTTGGGTTTCCTTATCCCCGGTAGGCAAAAATCAGTAGGTTAGGTTAGGTTAGGTTAGGTTGGGTTAGGGATAGGCAAAAATCAGTAGGTTAGGTTAGGTTAGGTTAGGTTAGGTTGGTTTTGGATGTTGCGTGCCTTGGATGTCGTGGTCTTGGACGTTGTGGTTTTGGAGATTACGTACTTTGGATGTTGCGTTTTTTGG